CTCTCCTTGACTCCTTGGTGATTTCAACTGTGGGAGTCAACGCTGTAACTCGACCTTGCCTCCTCCAGCCACCTGTGCTCGCGTGCCCAGAGAAAACACTGGCTTTTGTGTTGGAGTGAGACATCCACACAGCAGGGGGCTAAGGTACATTAGGGGGCTATGACAGGTGGCATGCTCTTTCAGGGCTTTCCCCGCAGTAAAGAGCATGAATATGGTCGGGCTGTCAGTGGAACAGCTGCACCACACTGCCATGTAGGTGGGGGTAAATCTCACTCCTGACAAAGACATCAGAAAAAGAATGTGACTACACTGGACATTTGATTTCAGAGGCATCCCCTTTAAAAAAAAAAAAAAAAAAAAAAAAAAATGCGTGAATGCTCATCTCCATACAGACTGAAGTCTCAGTCACTCTTGCATGGCAGTGGTTGACAGGGGGTTGGGGGGGGGGGGGTGCTTCATACAGTATGTGGGTGTTTTGTGTGGTTTGTGTAGCTTTGTGCATTTGTGTTGCGAGCTCATCAGTCTGAATCCTGGAGGCTGAAATGTGCAACAGCTCCACAGAGTCTGTGTGTGAGAGGAGGAACGGTTCAGTCAGACACCCCAGTGTCTGTTTTCTCCCGCCTGCTGGGGCTGGTTGGGAAGGGGCAGCAGGGGCAGTAGCTCAGGCTGTGTGAGCCTGGATGGTGATGTGATGTGAACTCTCAGGGCTGTGTGAGGCGGACAGAAGGAGAGTGATGACTCGCTCTCTCTGTCCTCTGCATGGACTCGGCTTCTCTACCATTCAGTCCAACACTGAACTGTAAGTATAAGATTTCTCATGCTGATTTATGCAGTTCCTCCTATTTTGGATTGTTTGTGCCCACGGTTCCTCTGTGTTTAACAGTGACTTTATCCTTTCAGAATTTGGGATTATTAAAATTCGTGTGCACTAAAAGTTGGTTAAGACTCTGGTTAGCAAGACTCTCAAAACACTGAATGAAATGCTAGTATTGATAGTACCTACAACAGTTACTTTTACAGTAATTTTACAAGAAAAAATGCCAAATTCAAATGCCATTTGATGGTGTCAAGTTCTCTTGGTCAGACAAAACAAGACATGTGAAGATGTCAGTTTGTTTGAAAATAATCAACAGATTAATTGGTAATGAAAGTAACTGTAAATTGCAGACCTGGATTTCCTGAGCTGTTGCTTTTTTAAATGTAGATGGATCTAGCAGACATCTTGCTGCTGTGAAGATGCATGTAAATTGAAATGACTGTACAATGCTGTGTTACTGACGAAGTATTTCCCCGACTGTCTCAGTTTAAAATGTAAAGGGGCGAAGTTTAAAGATTTAATAACAACTGTTGTTGGGTGGCCTGTGTGGCACTGTGAGGTTGGTACGAAGTGAGGTTGGACCAAGGTGTCACATTCCACAGTTTGGTGTGTGTGTGTGTGTGTGTGTGTGTGTGTGTGTGTGTGTGTGTGTGTGTGTGTGTGTGTGTGTGTGTTTTAGGCCGTCACAAAACACCACCAATCTACATACAGCAGAGAATGTATTTGGTCTAAGTTTGCTTGAATCTAAGATACACTTCCTCCAGTTAATTCCTCTATGTCCTGGGTAAGGTTTGTGTAGAAAAGTGTGTGTGTGTGTGTGTGTGTGTTTACATACTCACTGCAGAAATCTTTCAGTCTTTATCCAAACAACCGCTGTGTCCGTCCTCCCCCTTAAATCTGTCTTATATTTTTATCTGTAGACTTATGGTCAGATATGATGATGAAAAATGATGAAACTGCAGCTCTCTTGTCATCTGACTAATTTGTTCCCTTGATGGATTTATCAGATCGTGTGCCACCCCTGGGACTGCCCTATCTGTTTTTTTTCAGATCACATAAAAATTGTTTACCAGAAGCCTGCGTAAATGAGGCTATTTTAAGCCGTATGGTTGCTGATGGAAAAACAACAGGAAAGATTTAATTCTTGTAGTTGTACAAACATATTATTGTAAAAGGGAGCTGATGGTCCAATGTCCAGAGCGTCACTGTTCTCTTGATTTGAATCAAAGAATACTGTACATAAGGCAATATGAAGCCCACTGATGGATTTATTTTTTGTCTTTAGCACAGGGGCAGCAGCAATGTGGAATAAATCACCCTGAATTCAAAACAGAAGTCTTGGCTCTGTTGTTTACTGTTTATCCCAGTGCAGCAGGGCATGATCCTGACCTAAATCATACAGGAATACAAACACAGACAGAAGCCACCTCTAGTGGCCACAGAGGAACGACAGCTCTACCTTCCCAAACAGGACATATAAAGCAGAGGAAATATAGGGAATATCTTTTCTGAGTGAGATGGTTTGAATCATTATACCTCTGTTACAGTATTAAAGAGCATATATGTCCTAAAACATCCTCTTACACATAACAGATTTCTTTAAACCTACCAGTAATCCCTCAATTTATGCAAAATAATGAAAAATCATAAGCAGCATGTAAGATGACAAACTGTTTATGGGATCAAGAATGTCTTATATCTGTATATAACATATAATACATGATGATATATGTGAAATCAGTGTTTTATTTGGTGGATTAACAACATTAGTAAATGTTTTAACAGTTAAAACTGAGGAGAACAGAATAATAGAATAAAACGTGATTCACACGTCTTATATAAAATGCTGTATTACATTATGCAGATTGGTACAGTATCATAACTCTGATCTGCTTTTGAGATTTACCTCAACTGATACAGCGATTTACATTTAGAAGGTGATATCATCAACAAATACATATAAATATATATTTTCATTACAATAATAAAAATATTGGAGTAGCTGACCACTGAATTTTGCTGAAAGAAACCAATCATTGCAGTTGTGCATTCATTTAAATGAAAAATCTAATCATTGTTTGATGAGCTCAATAAACTTAAAATATAACATTCAGGATAGATTGTGGAGCGCAGTTAAGTTGAGATCCGGTTGCCTTGGTGGCCGAGGGGTTAAAATGTCGACCATAGACCACAACGTTCCCAGTATGAGAGCTTCAGGGGACCTCTGTTGCTTGTCATTCCCCCTCATTTCCTGTCGTCTCTCTATTGTCAACTTGGGAATAACAGTATAATATTTTAAGCTTAAAAAAAAAAACCATTTACTTCAGACCTTAAAAACATCAGTCGTCACCATGTGTAATGGCTGCAGCCTTACTCCCTTGGCCAAAATTATACAGGATGGACTAAAATCTGCTTCAGCGGGCATCCTGCTGGCTCAGTTGGCACGACGCGTCTGCATCTTGGATGTGTGCCGATCCTGGGATCTTTGTTGACTTCAGCTTGACCCATTTTGTTGCTCATGTGCAGTAATTTCAACCCAATTAGATAAGTAAGAATTAAAAAGAAAGAAAAAGAGAGAAAAAAAAGGGAGGAATGGAGGAGACATAAAAGAAGAAAATCTGCCCTCACTGACAGTGAAACCAGCCTAGTGGAAAAGGCAAGGGCAGCAGAAATTATAGGGTCAACCATGGCACAAACATTGAGTTGGAGAGAGAGGAGTGTATATTTGCATAGTGCGTATGTGAGGTGCACGTGTGTCTCTTTTTATAAAGCAGATTATACAGCGGATGTATACATAAGGCTAAATCTAGATCCACTGTATAAATAACAATACGTGCAGTCAGTGATTTACATTGTAACTTCTCAGTTTAGTTTTGTCTTTGTGACAAGTGCTTCCCAGAAGTGTACTACATCAAAGTGTGCATTTCCCTCTGCACTTTTGTCAACATGACAGTCACTACAGTGTGTTTGTGTCAGCCAGCGTGTGCTGTGTGACTGCAGCCAGTGACAGTGTGTCCGCTTGTCTCTGTTGGATAATTGTGATGTCTGCCTCTAATGACGTCCGACAAGAATCTAGTGCCTCTCTCTAAATATAAACCAACCTAATTAACTATCCTCACTACCTTCTCTGTTTACACAAGCCGGCTTAACGCGATCTTCACATTTTCACACAAAGCATGCATTCTCACAGAAACTGCTGCATTCCAGCAGTAAAGAAATGCTCACCTCCTCTTGTGTTCTCGTGTCTCTGTGAGGGTTTCCTTGTGATGCCTGTCAGATGTCATCATCAAGGAATTTTAATTAATAGTATAACCAAGTTTATTTTAAGACCCCGCTCTTATGAAGAGCTTTTGTAAGAACAGTTTGTCAGTCTGCTTTAAAGATGGCATATCTGTCTTGTGTAACAGGAGGATGTTCCACATATGTCAGTGATTTGTAAGGGCCAGTAACAGATTGTGTATTCCCCTGACAATATTTAAGGGGAACGCCATTGTAGTGAGTGACCTGAGCCACCAATCCTATGCTGATGTCTTCCTTTCTTTTTCCTTTTGAAAAGCAGCAGAATAAGCTGAAACCCTAGTCCATTTGTATTGCCAGGACAAAGACAGACCATTGTGGCAGGAGGGGTGGAGGGGAGCTGCCGGTGGAGGTAGGGGTGCAAAGGGTCAGGGGGGGCAGAGAGGACTTAGTCAGAGTCCGACCCCTGCTGGGTGGAGTGTTGGGGTTCACAGCGGTGGTGGTGTGCAGGTCAGGTAGTGTGCTTTTTTTTTTTTTTTTTTTTTTTTTTTTTTTTTTTTCTGAATGATGAGCCTGAAGCTGCAGCAGTACACAGTTATCCAGCTGGAAGAGGCTTCAGTAGCAGAGCAGCAGCAGGGCGGGGGAGGTTATGTTGGAGGGAGGGAGGATGAGTGACGGGGGAAGCCAGCACACACTGCCTCTCTCACGCTCCGACAGGAGTTTAGTCTGCTCCAGCTGCCAACACCACAGCAGACGGAGAGAGAGAGAGAGAGAAAGAGAGACGCAGAGAGGGGAGAGAAATGGACCTGTTGATACCCCAGCAATGACTTCCAGCACTTACAGAGAGGATAATACACTGGATTCTAGCGCTTGGAGTTGATGACACTTATTTATTTACTGAGGTTTGGGATTTTTTTCGGGTGTCTCAATGCTGTCACTGGGCAAAATGCACTCCAGAGCAAAGTCCCGGAGTTGTGACAACTACCTGAGTATTAAGGTACGAGCTTGAAATAGGTTTTGAATTTCTCATCATTATAGTTTTACTGGGACTTTTTGGAAGTTTCTGTTTTGTGCTTCTTTCTTGTGTGATTATGCTCAGTGTGTTGTGTTTTCCCTCTTTCTTCTGTGTTGGTTGTAAACCTGGCTTCTTGGGAACCTTCAGCAACAGTGTCGTGTGTGTGTGTGTGTTATTGTGCACATTCAGAGGATGGGTGTTTTCGATGCCTCAGCTTGTAGACAGCTGATATTTTGACTTGTTGCTCTGCAGCCAAAACAGCAGGCAGCTTTTTACACATGCATAAAGTGAGGGGGGAGGGAGCACAGCGGGTACCCTGATCTAGGATTATGTTATTGCTCAACATATACACGAATCCCTTCATTTTCATTTAGTTCCACGTATGCCATGGTGTTATTGTCTAAATTTTTTCCATTAAGGGCACATGATACGTCGCAGTGTGTAAATGTTTATATTTTTAGCAAAATGCTGTTGTCAGGTAGATAGATCATTCTATTAATGGCAATGACAGTGTAATTGTTCATTTGTTGCTCCTCAATGTGTTCTCCACCTACTGAATGTCAATTACAGCTAAATATATTGACGCTCTACAGTGACAAAGTGTGCACTCTTAAACAGGAGCTAAATACTGAAATTACAGATTAGTACTCATAAATAGTCTGTATTGTAAATCATAGTTTTATTTCATTGGAGATCGTGATAGAGACATATTTTTTTAGCTCTGTACCATCATCAGCAATAGTTGTATCAGGGGGTTCAAAAAAAAAAGGAATGAAAATAAGATTTGACTTACCGGCTGTTTATCATTTCTGGGGTCAGTGAAGTACACAAGTTTGTATCCTTTCTGATATGTGAGGCTTCTTTATCATCCTCCCACTTGTTTTGGTATGCATCCATTCTATATTTACCCTGCAGAGGTATCAACAGACTTTGTTAGTCTCCTTTGTCTCTGCTGTCACTGCTCGTCACTGCTCTGATTGGCTGAAGGATCGCCATGCACCTTTTACCTCCTTGTTGGGATTTCTTTTATGCAAAGGCCTAATCAAACATGTGAATGTGTGTTGTATACAGTATGTCTCCCTATGAGCGCTGTGAAGCCTGTTAGGGCTGCTCAGGAACAATATCCTGTCAGTGTTGTTTACATCCTGAAGGACAAAGTCATTAGTTGCCTGCTAATACATAAATCACATCTTTCTGATAACTAACGTGGGAATTTGTAAATAAAAAATAAAAAATATCCCCACTATTCCATGAGGACGCAGTATAGTTACCTCTGCTCATATACAAAAAATAAAAATAAATAAAAAACAGAAAGTTCTTCTACTACTGCTCTGTCATTTTGCTTGTATCCTTTTTATGACCCAGCTTGAAAAAAATAATACATTAACCATAAATGTGATTTAAAAAATATAATTGATTAGCAGAAATATTTCTCTTAATTCTTACATTTCAGTCGGGTCATAGGAATGTAAATGTAAATCACAGGAGAAGTAAAAATAGTAAGTTTTGCCGTACACAAGTGGGTGGGCCAGTTTATCACCTCCAGACTTCCATTATTGTTGATCTGGCTGTCACCCAGCAGCCCTGGCTGTGTCACACAATCAGTGTGGGCCTCTCAGGGTTAAAGTTTATCTGCTGAGATAACATTATAACATTTACTAAGGTGTCTTTTTACAATGCCATTCTAACATTGTGCTGTTGAAGCGTGTGCTCTCTAGTGTCTATACACAGACAAAGAGTGTGTTTTTGTGTGTGTGTGTGTGTGTGTGTGTGTGTGTGTGTGGGTCCAAGTAAAATTCATTTTGATACATATTGTAATTAATTTAACAGAGCTATGTTTTGATTTAACAGGGATTTTTGTCATGTAACCATAGTCATCTCTCTCTTTCTATAAGAAATGAGGATCGTGGTTGTCCTTAAATTTATTGGGAGTTTTATCAGTACAGTGTGCGTATCTTTGGTCTGACTTCATATCCCAGTCCTTGCCTCTCCTCCTCTCATAAGATAGGATTTCTGCTGGTGCAGATCAAAAGCTGAATGAAACTGCAGGCTCAATAGTGAGGTCTCACTAGGCCCCTTTGTTGGTGTCCTGGCACCTGGCAGCGGGGCAGGTCTGAGCAACCTGTGGCCTTTGTCAGCCCCGCTGCCTTTGAGGCTGTTAGCAGGTTGGTTAGTGAGCAGCCTGTATGGGGGCTCCAGGGCTCTCCTGTTACACTCCCCTGGTGGCTTCATGCTCCACTGGAGGCCTGGTAGGCAGCGCCTTTTGTGTCCTCGACCCACTAAATGTGTCAGTGACCACCTCGCGTTCACTCGCTTTCTGTCTCTGTGTGTCTCTCACTCTTTCTTTCTCTGTGATGAAGCCCCTTCTCTTTTTCTCCCCCCCCAACTCTGATTTTTTTTTCTTCTCATTTTTCCACTTGGCTCTCTGACACATGCTTTAGAAGTTGCTGTACTTTTAGAATCACCAACTAACACAACATTTTCCCATGTTTGATCTCTCTTTCTCTCTACACTGAAAGATTTGCTCTTAACTCAAACTTTACCACAATCCATCTTCTCAGTTGAAAAGGTAAACTGAGAGACAAACACCCCCCCCCTCCCCTCCCCACCTCCCACTCCCCATCATTTAGCCTACTTACTTGCCCTGTGCACCTCTTGGAACAGCTGGTTTACCAGCGGCACAGACAGAAGTGTCCCACCTGGAGCTTGAAGCCATTAATTACCACCTCAGTCCTCCATCACACAGGCAGCCGCTCACAAAGACCTGGCATCAGATAGGGTGGGACTTCCCACTCCTACTCCTGTCCTGGCTGAGGGTCTGAGGCTAGACATACACAACCATACACACTGCATTCCTCTGTGGCTCAGAGCGGATGGGAAGCTCAGCTCTGGCGGCTTAGCTCAGTCACTCTGCTGAGACATGCAGATATGTCTCCCACTAGCCAGGTGACACTTTTTGAAAAGCTTTAAATGCCTTCCTGACAATGGGAGAGCTGTATCTATTGTCCCTTATGTAATATATCATCTCCGGGGTGATGATGTAATGTTTATTTGCCACAGCTCTCAATGTAAACGCTGTGTTATGCAGCTATTGTTTAGATAAATGCAGTTTTCGTGTTCATATTGTCGCATCGGATTACATGGACTTCTGGTTGAAAAGCAGTTTTATTTATCATCGAGTATCTGCTACGTTGAATAATTGTTCTTCAAAAACACTGCCACTGTTTTTTTTTTTTCTGCCTTGGGAAGCTGAAGAGAAACTTGCTGGTCTGTCCTAACTATGTAGTGAGGGCTTTCCTCCCATTGTTAGCTTTCCTCCAATAAAACACCATGTTATTCTTCTCCTCCCGGGTGCAACAGTGACTAATGCCCAGAGACATTTTTGTCTCACTAAAAGCAGGCTGACTGCTAATGGAGGTGGGCGTTTTGTTTCAGGGCACCAACACTGTACAGCACATACCACTTTGAGAGGCGGAGTACACAATGAGCGCCTTGTAGTAGAGTGGTGGCATGTGTACCAATGCACTGAACTGTACTCACTCGCCTCTAATTGATGGTGCTGAGCTGCTTAGATCAACAGGACAGATCCTACAAAGGGTGAAACATGGGCTCTCTGACAGGCTGAATTCCCCCCCGAGCACAGGCCATCTCTTGATTTCTGCGTGTCGTTTTTTTTTTTTTTTTTTTTAAACACACTTTCATTGTCATGTAAATGCAGCACAGACATTCAAGTGAAAGTTAGCTGTGAGGAGCTACATCCTCAACCCCTGCGTTCTTCAATACGGTACACGGTTGACATAGTGTGGGACTTTTCCCGGCATCGCCATCTATCTGTGTGGTTATCATTGGAGGCAGATGTCTCCATTCCACTGTTGTGTTCCATTCGGGGAGGACAGATAGCGGAGGGATGTTTGGCCTTGGTTATCACCGCTGAGAGGAAGGTCACGGCCTGAACTGCGAACATAACTACAAGGACAGGTCAACCTCATCCAGGACTGCCGTAATCCCAAACGTCCCGTCTCACTCGTGGACAAGTTGTAACTAACGGTGTCGGACGTATCCTCTGCTCTGCTTGGGGACCGCTTTGGTCGTCCAGGGCATGAAGGGGTCAGATAAAAATCAACGATGACATGGTTGTTATTAGAGGGTAGCGTTGCACCGGCCCTGCCAGAACTGGAGTCCATTCTGGACTTTCCAGTTTGTCTGTTTGTGTCCGCTGGCGGTGACGTCACTCCTACCAGGTGTTTCCCCTCTCTCTCATGGAAAGACCATCATGGCTGACATGTAATGTTTCCTGTCATGTTTAAACTTCCCGACTGTTTTGGCTGAGCAGGATCATTCACTGTAAATCACGTGCATATGCAACTGCATGATGATGTAGTTGAATTTATGTACAGTAAGCAGATGCCTTGTGATTTTTCTAGTTATTTGTGTAGGAAGTGTAACCTGGTTATTAACCTGGGGGCTGGGACTCCCCAAGGTGCTACTGAGAAAAGTCTTAGTGGTCACAAGATGATTGAAAGTAAACGCTTTTCTCTCATTTTTGCTCTTTGTGTCATGAAATGCTGGATTATTTTACTGCTTCAAACATCTGAAACCCTCAAATGAAACAAGCTGAGGAGGAAAAATCACTCTCGGGTTGACCCGCTCACAGCCTGGGTCCACGTTATTTATAGCACGAGCTTGACACGATTAAATATGTCCATCCTAAATAGTTTAGTTTTTTTCCTCAGGACGCTGAGTCTTTGGACAACTGTATCCAGAGCACCTTGTCGGCCCTGTACCGCCCCTTCACTGCCACCGCTGCCACCGTCCTGTGGCAGCTCTTCAGCGTGGTGGAGAGGCAGTACCGCGGAGACGGCCTCCGCTGCCTCATCGACTTCTTGCTCCCTGCCAAGAGGATTCTGCAGATCATCCAACAAGAAACCTGTGTGAGTATCTGATATCATCGAGGGGGCACCTGAGGTTAAATCGAGGGAGCCAAGAATGTTTACTGTGATTTGTTTCTGAATTCCTCTTGGGGTGCATCACAGTCAGAGATTTACTTGCTACTAACATTAGTGATTTCCTGCAGCACTGTTGGACTCAGATGAAGATGAGGAAGAGAAAATACAATAAACGCAGCACCAAAACATGGTTCACAGTGTCAGGACAAGCTAACTCATGTGCTTTCCTCAACCACCTCAAACGTGGAATAATACTCATCTTGAGAGAGGATCGACTGGAGTGATAAGAGAAAATGTTTGTGAAAAAAGAATGTGAGAACAGTGCTGCTGAGTGTTAATATCTCTGCTGAGTGGGAAGGGGGAGCACCAGACTGAGACAGAGTTGATTATTGTTCTGAAAACAAGCTGAAAAGCAGCCATCCTTCTCTGAAGAGGGAAACAGAGGGAAACTGTGGTCTGTTTGAGAGGCTGCCATGGACTCTTGTGTCCAAAGTGAAACTCAATATTCTCTCTCAAAAGCTTTGATTGCTGTGGGTTAGGGCTCTATGACCAAAGCACTGAAACTTTATTCCTCTGTATTCATCTCTCTGGTGATTACACTGTGACGATAGCCATAGAGCAATAGTTTCACCTAAGCCTAGCCCCTGAGAACAGCCTACTGTGCAGGAGAGTCTTTGTATTGCAGGCAATATGAGAGGCTTCAGAGGAAGATCACATCCTCAGTCTTTGCCTTGACATTCATAAGAGATGAAAAAGTCAACCCTTGAGCTCCATGCCTTTGCTCCCTGCCTTTGCTCCCTCTTAGAGTCTGTTTTTTTTTTTTTTTTTTTTTTTTTTTATGCTGTCACAGTGAAGATTTGTGTTGTGGTTGCTGCGAAACCTGGGCCTGATCAGACAGGCTCTCCTCTCTAGTCGAATGATCACTGACAGTGATTCATCCAGTCAGTGCATCCCATGAAAACATCTCGCCTCTCCATTAAAGTTAAACATGTGTTTGAACACAGCTTTGCAGATGTCTGTTGAAATGATGCAAGACGCACCACAGCTGAGCCATGACACAAAGGGATGATGATAATGTTTTATGGGAGTGGGTACTGACTGACTTCTCTGTTTTCTCTCAGGTGAGGTTCAGAGGCTTGTTGTTCTATCATGAGGGGTGGCCTCTCTGCATCCACGAGAAAGTCGTCCTGCAGCTCGCCCCTCTGCACAAAGTCCGACTAAAGCAAGGAGACTTCTATCTACAGATAGTCCCTCTAGGCCGCAAGACTGCCAAGCTAGTGATAAAATGTTTGTCGGCCAGTGGGCAGGCCATTGCAGAAATCCCCATCGCAGAGAGCATGTATGGCAGCGTCTTCACAGCTGAGTTCTTGCAGAATGTAACACGCGACCGGAACCTGCACCCGCTACAGAACTGTCTGCTCACCACTGGTACCTCCGTGTACAGGACGCCGTGGATGAACGTGGTCAACCCTCTGTTTGTCAGCAGCACGTCGGACGCCATCATGCAAGCGCGCTGCAGCAGAGGCGGCTTCCGCGGCCAACTCAGCACCTGCAGCACCAGCGGATCCACCGGGACTCTGGACAGCCACCGCAGCTCCAGAGAGTCCCTGCACTCTCAGGGGGCCGACTCCATCTTCTCTGAGCCCACCTCGCCGAGCAGAAACCGCACGGACCCCGGTGGTGAGAGACGCAGCATCAGTGCAGCGGATACCGCTACACCCATCATTAAGATTGAAAGACCCACTGAAGAGTGTGGGGTAGGACAGGGGGGCGAGGACAGTGGTGGGAGAGAAAGAGGGTCGGGGTCCAAGATGCTGTCTTTTACTACAGACCTCAGTAACCCAGGCCCTCGACGTCGCATCCCGAGGGACTCTGTAGCCTTTGAGAGCAGGAGACTTTTCAGAAAATCTTACATGGAGGCCTTGCAGAACCCCATGAGCCTTGGGTCCAGCTCCGAGTCCATCTTGGAGGAAAGCTCGGAGCACAGTGCCGGCCTGAGAGAGAGAACATTGACAGCGGGCGGCAGCCCCGACACCCGGACCTCCCCCAGAGAACACTTATCTCGAAGGTTGGGTAGCCGGGGCTGGCTCAGTAGTGACGACTCCAGGCCCAGCACACCTTTGCTTTACTTACAGAGGGGGTTACGGAGCGCAGAGAGACGTGCAGAGAGACGTTCAAAGTCACTGGAGAGGACTAACAAGGCAGGCCAGGTTAAAGGCCACCGGGAACGGTCCTCCTCTGGAGGCTCGGCTAGCATCTCACCCAAAAAGCTGATGAATGGCTACGCTCTTCGTTTTGGGAAGCTGGAAGTCGAGGCAGCTTTTCCTGGTTCTGAGAGGAGAAGCAGCAAAGAGGAGTCAGGTGCGTGATGCTCCGTTGATGTTCAACCCTTTGTCCAGAAATCACACTGAAGTTATGTTTTACATCATCTCATCATATTACGGGCAAATACTTTTGTCTATTTGCTTTACAGGCACTAAAACTTACTCAAGTATATTAACTCAATAATCCTGTTATACAATATGTATATCATTTAATACAATATTGAAAATACCTGTAAGGAGCCATTTTGCATAGTACCTTTGAGTACGTTTGTTGATAATACCTTTGGTGTGGCCACTGTACGTTCAGTTCTGCGGTACAGTGGTGTATTGCTACTGTTGCTTTAAGCAGAAGTCTTTTTTGTTATTGTCAGAAATCCTTTTGAAAACAGCAAAACAAAAATGAACTGATCATAATAAGTTTTTTCCTGTGAAGCCAAAGCCTGATATGGCTTATTCCTCTGTGCCATAGAACTGAAAAATTAACCCCATATACACTGTGCTTCTGTCATGAATGCTCACTAGACAAAACGTCAACATCAAAATGTGTATTAATCCACAGCTGAAAATAGTCCCTGTTAAATGAACTGGTTTGCCCTGTTTCAGTAATATTTGCTAACAGTGCCCAGCTGTTTAAATTTCATTTTCATTTTTAAAGATGTCCATCATCAATAGAACAAATGCTCCTGAGTGCCAGAGACAGGGTAAGGGAGTTGAAAGTAGTGACAGATGGACTGACATTGTTTGGACGATAATAGAAACATAGAATAACAGCAACCTCGTCCGTTAATCGTAATATGTTTCCCATACTCTTGTTGCTTACTTAAAAATCTGAATGGGATATGAGAAGACAATTTTAGCATCAAAAAGACGTCTTTACACAAAGCGATTTTTGCTCTACTAACATGTTCTGTTACACAACATTAAACCTCAGTGTTTACAAGCGTGGCATTTTCCAACAAGGGCTGAATCATCAGTCCACAGCTCATTTATCTTATCAAATAATATGACCTGAGGGTGTGAAAACCCAGTTTCGCTCTTAATAGTTCGATAATGGTGGTTTCTCATCAGGATGTGTCATCGTACCCTGCAGCAGGACTGGTTACAACAGTTCATTAGGTGGTTGGAGCTGAAGTCTGAGCTGATATCTGAGCTCATATCTCTGAAGCATTAAGGCTGTCATCGGTGACAGATCGCTTTTCAAAGCCCACACTGTGTGTTTTTTGGCATGTTCAGGAGACAGGTACAGCCCTACCCTGGAAACAGAACTTCAGTCGCAACCCTGTGTTTTCTTTACCACTGTCGGTGTGTTTTGTTTTGTTTTGTGTCGGTTCATCCTGGGTAGCTCAGGAAAGCGGCAATGGAGGGAATACCATATTGGGAATCGTGCTGTTTTTAGAAAATACAGCCTCTTCCGTGAATTGAAATGTGAGGTGAAAACTGATTGAATTTATTTACCCTGGATAGTGCCAGACCGCAGCCGGTACTGTCCAGGTTTAAGCTGTGTGGCCTGATTTCTTAAGAAATAAATCATATATTTGCTTATTTAAATGCATTAAAGAGGACACTTAACCACTCAGCAAAAATACAGTAGTTAAATCACATCACTGTTGCTGAGATTACCTCAGAGGGGATTGTATTTCAGCTGTTGCAAAGCAGGTTTCCCACAGCGACATTTCAAAGGCAACAAAAGATCCTGTAAACCCTGTAAACTAACCACAGGAACCCCAGCATCCCACAATGAGATGACCCCACAGTGTTATTGGGGCTGGGGGCTGCGCTGATCTCAGATGGGTTGCCTCATTTACAAAAGTTTCCTTTGTGAACCAATCAGCCACTGGGGATCCACGGGGGGAGAAAAGCCTTTCAAACTGCGGCTGTGTCTTTGGAGAGTCCATTCACTCCAGAAACACGAGACCTAACTTGCACTGACTCACACCGCTCTGAAAAAATAAGTGTTGAACAAGTGTTGAATTACTCATGATGTGAGCCAGCAAACTCTGTAGTATCAAAACACGTCACCTTTTATTTACATGATCAGTAAAGTCAAAGCAGCAACCAGTGCAGGTTTAACCCCCTTTGGCGGCTTTAAAATGCATCCAGTGGAGTACACAAAAATACAGACTTTCGCGCAGGACAATACTCAGGAGGCTTTACTCTACTTTTGTCACTTCCTCTGACAACAAAGCAATTTAGGAAACATGCAGCAAACACAGGCCCGGCCACACAGTCGCACAGGAAATGCACTGACTGTTTGAAGACAATAGAGGCTGAGCTGGGTGGGTTTACTGTCACAGAACGGGGCAGGACAATGCAAAGAGGCCTCAAACTGTTTAAAAAGAAAACACACAACAGGTGTCCCATCAGACACAGATACTTTGGCAGAGTTGGTTGAACAACAGCCGATCAAGGTTTTATGTTAAGTTTAAGGCCTGTTAATACTCTGATGACAAGGCGCTTCCAAAAATGGAAGAGCCTTGTTTATGCCTGTGCTTTCCGCTCTATTTTTGGATGGTATTTTTTTTATTGGCGTGGTAAAATATGAGTGCCAACTTTTGCCTAAACCCGGCTCTTAGACTGTGACAAGACTAGTATAGTCAATGATTAAATGAATATATTTTAAAACAAATTAGTTAAAATTACCAATAAATGAGTAAGTCAAGTGTGAGTTTTTGCACCGATGTTATCTTGGCCAAACAAAAGAAAACCCAACAAAAAAAAAAAAAAAGCTAATGAGTGTGTGGATTGAGCAGATTTTGCCGCTATACTCTGGCCCTATAAACATGAACCACACCAGAGCTAGGTGTATACCATGCTGCTGTCAGAGCTGCTTTCATTGCCAGTCTCAAATACAAATCAACAGTTATTTTTATTATATATTTTTATTGCAAATTGTAATTTCCAAAGAGATGCATTTAGATTTCTTGCTTTGCCTGATCAACAGTCCAAAACCCCAAAATATTCAGTTTATCGAAAACTCACATTTGACATGTTTGAACCAGAGAATCATGACTTTTTTTTAGCTTGAAAAATGATTAATCGATTACCAAATTTCTTGCCAGTTACTGTTCTATTGGTCAACTAATGATGAATTGCTGCAGCTCTACTGTATAGCCAAGGCATAGTGAAGTATCCAGCAGAGAATATACAGATGCTGTGTGAAGATTTGAATGTTGTTTCGCTGCCTCAGGAATAGGATCAAGTCTTAAAAAACCGTGGTACCACTTGGGAATGTCAGGAGCAGCATTCCTATAAACAGAGCCTTGAGGTATGGAGGGCTGAAGAGGAGGAGGTGAGCATCTGAGAGTCTAATAACCCCAGAGTTACCCATGACTCAGGCTGACTAAACACCTGCTCTCCACGATGAGTCAGAGTCAACTCACTACTACAGCACACCTATGTTACCACTAGAAAAAAAACTTGTTTCATGAGGTTTTTACGGTGAGGTGAGAAAGCACTGAGGTGAAAGGAGACTTCTAATTTCTACTGATTGGACTGTATTTTTGTTCTGTAGTTGCTCAGTAAATATCACTTAGACAGTCCGTCCCATTTGTGCTCACCGTCTCTAATCTTCTCCACAGGACAGCGTGACGACGGCATCAGCGGTGAGAGCGGGCAGCGCAGGCATAGCGGGGAAGAGTCGCACAGTCCTAAAGCTGCCAATGGGGCCGCTATCAGGCCGGCGTCAGTGTCAAGCTCTTCATATGACAGTAACCCAGCCCTCCCCAAACTGGCGTCAGAGGTCGATCAAGAGCTGCTGGCATCGGGTGCTGTGATCTTGCCAGGTAGGGAAGAGGAGGGGGAGGGGAGGGGGGGGTTGATGCTTTCATTTCCACCCATCAGCTTTTTTAATAGGTATCACATTCATATTAGAGCTGCAGAATTGCATGGTCTTGTATGTCTACTACAGTGACATAAGCCTGTAAAGCTTAGACGCTCTCATTCTTGGTGGTAGTCGACACCTGTGAGTGTTGAGTGCTGACCCCCTGCTGGCCTGCTCTCTTCCAGGAAACAGAGATCGCAGTGGGAGGGCAGTTCTGCAGGTGTGCACAAGAGCTCAGGTGTGGGCAGGTGAGAGTTGCACAGTCAATGACCTCACCTGTTTACTGGGCTACTACTACTCCACACTGCGGTAAGTCCCACATACTTAGCTTTTATTTTGTCTGTGTTCAGAATAACTCCAGTAACTTTCACACCTTTCCTTTGCCCCCGAGGTGACGACTGACCCATTCAGAATTTATGAATACAGATAAGCAGATAAGCATCTAAATCTAAAGTTCTCCTTTATGTCATTTATAGGCATATACAAACATAGAAGAAATGGTTTATAACACACTATCATATAGTTGTAACCAGATGTAAGGACATTACAAAGTCTTAATTAGTGCACAGTATTTGCCAGCAAATTTATGAAGACATATATATTATATTATTACAGCCCTGTTTTAATTTAATAAATAGTTACAACTACATTATAGTTTGTTATAAACCATTTATTGTATTATTTTGTTGTTTTATATTGATACTAATGCTCATGTACTGCTCATGAATGCTAAATAGGGGTACTTTTAAGTAAAGTCTATTTAAATGAAAAAAGTATTGTCAGTAAACTTGAGAATGAAAAATCATCAGTTGTCAGTTTTACAGGATCTTTCTAACAGGCATTGCTAGATATATGTCCATGCTTAGCTTTTGTAAAGCAATATAAAACCTACACTCACCAAGGCTGCACAAAATAAATGTCTCAGCCATATACTCCTGTGGTCAGGCTTTCCTCATTTACCAGGCAGAAGCAAATTTACTTAGCTGTCAGAATATAGTATTGCACACAGTTAGCTGTTTGACAAAGGCAGTGCACTAACTTTAATACTTTGGTTTCAGGAACGAAAGGCGTCATCAAGGTCTGACTGTTGTAATAGACAGCAGGAAGCAGCAGCCTGTTCCAGCTCTGTTGGCATCGCTGTCTGAACTGCAGGTGAGCCCGCAGTGGAAAATATGTAATTACCCTCCAACACGCCCAAAGAGTTTTCAGGCCCTGCTGAATCTGTTGTCCTCTGAGCTGTAATACTGATACTCTCTTTCTCTGAGTTACAACACTATGGAATTCCTTACACATTCCCTATTGTTCTGCCCATCAGTCACCGACACAGTGTGTTTTTTTTTTTTTTGGTGTTTTTTTTTTTGTTTGTTTTTTTTAAAGGGCACACCTTAAATTTGTAGTGACTCCATTTCCAAGACATTTTTCTGAAAAAGGCTGGCCTCAGGGCTCTTGTGGAGAAGCCTGTGCTTACTTGTCTGTTTTTAACCACACACTGGGAGTGGGTTGGCTGCAGCCGACTCGCCAGAGACATATCATCATGTTATGATGATGAGTTGCTCTCTGATGTAAGGCTGATAGTTCTGTAAACCACAACACATGCACAAGTCACTTTAAATGCCTATTTCACAGTATTTAGCTGTTCTTCTCGGAAATATACACGTCTTGTAATTTTTATTTTCTTAATTTTAAGAGACTATAAAAATGGCATCTGCATGTTTTTCAGGCTTTGGTACCAAATGCACTTTACTCAGTTCTCTTCCTGGTGGACAAGGAGGCAGCAGCTAAACCTGAGCGAGACATCAATGTGCAGGTAAAGAAAGACTTTTATTATCAGATGGATGACACGTATCTCAAATCAAGATGTATGTGTGTTGTTGGATGCTTGATCCAAGTAGATCTGATAAGCAAGAACATTTGATGAATCCCTGTTTAATATCATCTCTATGGGCCATGATGACAGAGATTAGAGGGGGGCAGGGATTGGCCGTTGGGTAGATACAGTCGCTTTGAAGGAGGACAGGAACACACTGTGACTGAGACCTGAGTGTGTGTGTGTCTGTGTTTGTTTTTCGTGCAACAGACTGAGACGCTGTCGTCTCTGAAGGCCCTGCTGAAACACATCGACCAAACCCAGCTCACACGAGACTTGGAGGGCACCTTCCACTACGACCACAACCACTGGATCCACTTCAGACAGGTGGGTGTGATGGAGGTGGGTGGACGGTAGCCCACATACTGTATTTGTAAACTTACTTAAAGGCTTGACAAGGGTGGGGATTTCAGTTTACTGTTAGATGCTTGTTGTTTATAAGCGAAAAGAGAAAATTATACTAATTGCTATTTTTGCCAAGGATATGTATAGTTGCAAGAAATGGCTTCTCTGGGCCAGTTGAAACATGATCAGTTTCAGATATGGAAATATGACTTTTCTTGACTCAGCCCCCTCTATTTCTGGCAGGGGACAGTTCTCTACTTGCAGATTTTAAGAATCTGCAATCTCTTTTTCTCTGTCTTTCTTTCACAGAAAATTGAACCATTTGCCAGCAGTTGTAGCGCAGCCATCTCCTCCCTGCAGGAGTCTATCAGCACACTGAGCAACAGCGGCAACCTGAAGACGTCAAAGGTCAGACCAAGCCCTTGCGGCCAGTCTGGCCTTCTCATATATGTGTTTTCTACTGACACACAATAGCTCCCTGCTGGAATAAACAACTGACTTTGTTTTATGGTTAACTTCCTTGATCTTTGTGCAGTGGAGATCAATAACCTTGACAGGATTTTGTTTTGAGTTTAAAAAAAAAAAAAGAAAAAAAAGTTGAAGAAAGTTGTTTCTTGTCACATTTGTGTTTAGATCCACCGTGATAATGTATTAATGTCATATCATTTCTTTGATTCAGGAAGTGTCTGAGGTGATGGAACAGCAGAGGCATCTCATGAAGTGTGTGCTAGATGACACCCGTCTGAATAAACTGCGTCTCGAGGGAGGAACTGTCCTCGCCCGCATCAGGAAGGAAGAGGCCTGTGAGAATGAAAACTACAGGTACTGCAGGAAGAGGGGATGGACTCTCAACCGTCATAATGAGCAGTGCCTGTGATGATGAAAAAAAAAAAAACAACTTCTCATAACCTGTGTGGCCATGTTTTCTTTTTGTTCATTCAGAGATGCTGTAGACGTGTTGAATGCACTGTACAACCAAGTAGATGAAGAGGTTCATAAGCTCGTGATCCTGTCCAACAAGTCTCAGAAACAGTTAGAGAGCCTGCTGGAGGTGCGCAGGTTTGAGGAGCAAACACAACAGGTGATCCCCGAACTTTATTTTTCTCTCCACATACAGTCATCTGTGCTGCAGATTTTCTCTGCTCTCAGCGCAGAAGTGGATAACAAATCCATGAAAACTCCTCTCTCTTTTCAGATCAAACTCTGGTTCAGTGTCGAGGGAGAGAAGCAACTCGCACCTTTGGAATCGCTCACTCTCTCTGTTGCCAAAATTAAGGAGATGAGAGAGAGCTTGGGCCAGTTTCTGGAGGAATCTGTGGTAAATAGTGCCATAATATGTTTTCCACAACAATTTTTAAACCTATTCCTTGTAAATTAGTTTTTACGTCTAGTGGTAAATTGATCTCGCCCTTATCCTGACAGCACCAACAGAGGCACGGCCTACAGCTCGTGAAAGAGTCTCCGGAGTCTCTTCCGGGCTCGGCTCTCCTCGACTTTAAGCAGCATCTGGGATCCATCCTAAGCAGAGCGGAGCAAAGGAAGGCCCAGCTAGACATCCTAACCAACCTGCATGAGTTCTATGACTCGGTAAGTATCAAAGAAATCGTGTCAGTGTTCTGACCAAAGTTATGTTACAGTTGTATTTTAGGATTCAGAATAATCTTTAATGCGAGAGTGCTTGCCTAAAAGCTGGATTCTGATCTTTTAATCGGCTTTACTTGTATTTGACTATACTATATTGATATACTACTATATTACTATCACTCTTTCAAATCTCTATAGGCGAACCAGTGGATAGATCACTGTCAGGATTATTTCCATCAACTCAGCCTGGACAGTACAGGTGTCAGGCTTTCACCATCAGTGGTTCAGATCCTGCAGGATTACTACACCGAGGCGTCCAAGTTCTCCATGGACAACTTCAGCACCCTCAATGACATGGTGCTCTCCCTGGAGAGTCCTCAGCAGCTGCAGCAGTGGAACACAGTGTGGCACAAATGTCAGCAGACCAAACAGCAGCTGGAAGAGACTTTGGCCCGAGCCTTGACGACAGCACGGAGCTCCACAGCTGCTGATGCGGCGCCTTCTTTAAAGACTGCTGCAGAGAGTCCGATCGCCACAACAGAACAGCATGGAGCTAATGGTTGTGTGCTTTTACCTGGAGCGATGACACCGTTGACTTTTGAGGATAACAAGCCTCATTCTGCTGGGCCTTTCTCCAAAAGCCCCTCCAGTTCAATCTCCTCCTCCTCACACTTCAACTTCCCGCCCGACTGCGACAGCAAACTGAGGCAGAGTCCGTCCATGTTTGACGACACGGACAGCGACTGCACCATCGACTCGACCATCTCCTGCCACTCGGAGCCCGTCTACACCGGGGCCGCCCGCCTCCGCAAGCAGCCGATGAAGAAGATCATGAAGAAGACCATGAGCTACGAGCTGACGCCAAGGGACAGTGGTCATTCAGACGTCAGCCACATTCACGGCTATACGGGGGTGTACATCAAGGGTTTGGAGGTGGCGAATAATGTGTCCGCAGAGAAGAAGCTGCAGAGGCCTGATGTGATGAGCCCTGCGTTAGGACGGAGCCGCAGCATGTCCACGCCCTCCAGGACTCATAACAGACGCAGCGATGGAGACGGCAAGAAACAGAGCAGGTGAGGAGGAGAACCTCTGATACTTAACACAAACTGGGACATTACTTCATTTGTGTAGTAAAAGAACAAACACAATGTGTACGTCCCCTGATCGTCAAAATTGTCACTAATGTTTTCTTGATTCACCCTATGCTGTTTGCTTTAATATTAATAGTTATACCAATGTACTTTAAATATCATCAAGAATATATTTAGTCTTATACCCTGTTATGTGTTTCTGTTCACCAGTAAAGTGCAGCACATCATGGATGAGATGATCTCCACAGAGAGGGAGTATGTGCGGTCTCTCAGCTACATCATTGAGCACTATTTCCCCGAGATGGAGCGCCTGGATTTGCCCCAGGACCTGCGGGGGAAGCGCAGCATCATTTTCGGGAATGTGGAGAAACTGTGGGACTTCCACAGTCAGTACTTCCTGAAGGAGCTGGAGTCCTGCGCCCACTCCCCGCTCTCCATCAGCAGCTGTTTTCTGAGACACGTGAGTCAGTCAGTCAGTCAGTCAGTCACAGTGTGCCCTGAGGCAACGCACTGACAGCTTAAAAATAGCAGTCAGGTCTGGTGGCTGTCATCAACAGTCACTGTAATAATGTGTTTACGTATAGTTAGTGACTTTCCTAAAACAACTTGATGCTGTGTTTCCAGTGTAGTGCCACGGTTTCACTATCACACTGCTCGATTATAGTTGTGTACACCCGTGTATTTAAGTCACTTGTCAGCATCATAATGAGTGTAACTGATGGCAGAACCCATACAATTATATTTACAGTCTCTTAGGAGCTCAATCATTCATGGCATACTGAAATGTCAGCATGCTTTTTACTGTAGTCAGTGTTGTAACTTGTTAATCTTGTGTGCAGGAGGATCAGTTTGGAATGTATGCTCTGTACAGCAAGAATAAGCCCCAGTCGGACACTCTGCTCTGCAGCCATGGGAATGAATTCTTTAAGGTACGTCTGAAAACTCTGGCTCTGGTTACAGTCCTCACTTAACGCATCATGACTGTGTTCAAAATGACATTTTGCAGAGTTGCAGCCCCAAAAATGGTTCATATCATAAAGGAATAATCCACGACATCTTGATCATTCAACACTAAAGGGATCGTAAACAATACACACATTAGAGCCCGACCAATACCTTGACATGGCTAATATTGACAGTTTAAGCTTATTCCAAATGTGTATATATGTGTATATATATATATATATACAGTATATGTAAATATAGATGTATATCCAACTTACTTGTTGTTTCTTAAGCTTTCAACCACATCTCCTGGCCTTGTTTAGCAGATAAAGCTGCTCAGTTGTCATGGAGGAGGTGGCAGAGATCATAACTCCTGTCTTTTGTTTAAAGAACAGAGATATTTGAGGTCATTTCTTAGCAATTTTGCTGTTACATAGCTTTTTCACCTAAGGGTACTGAAAAGGTTTTCAACTGTAAAATATGCCACTCAGTTCATGTCTTTCTCACAATTCTTTAATAACCAAGTTTAAGGCGTACTTATATGAAATGTTTGTTTGTTTTCTCGCATTATTGGATTTTTAAAAACTCTTTAATAGCAATATCGATGTCGGCCTAAAAAGTTTTGTTTTGGTCAGGCTCTAAAATGAGGCTTTAACTCAACAGTATACACACAGAACCCACTACTTTTGACATTTACGAAAGTAGCCCCACATTCAAAAGAGTGTGTTAGTTTGTAGAAAAGCAATAACACCACAATAGTAATCCTCACTGTGTCTCTCCAGGATAAGCAGGTGGAGCTCGGGGACAAGATGGACCTGGCGTCCTACCTGCTGAAGCCCATTCAGAGGATGAGTAAATATGCCCTGTTGCTGAAAGACCTGATTAAGGAGTGCAGCCAGTCCCAGGAGCAGGAGCTGAGTGACCTACGCACCGCAGAGGAGTTGGTCAAGTTTCAGCTTCGCCACGGCAACGACCTGCTGGCTATGGATGCTATTCGGGGCTGTGATGTAAGTAGTAATTCATGAGCAGAGAGCCATGTGCTGCTATGAGGATTATTTGGGTGTCAGCATAAAAGCCAAGTAACACCTAACATTATAACATGACAATCTGGCAAGACAGAGGCCATTAAAACTATTTTGGCGTTTGAGGTCATCTTGTTGTGTATACAGTAGAGTGAGGTTAGATCCCCATCAGGAATTGTATTGTTCTCTCTGACGCATGTGACCGGTCGTGTTTCCTCTCCAGGTGAACCTAAAAGAACAGGGTCAACTCCGCTGCCAGGATGAGTTCATAGTCTGGTGTGGACGCAGGAAATACCTCCGCCATGTCTTCTTGTTTGAAGACCTCATCCTCTTCAGCAAGACTAAGAAGATAGAGGGAGGATATGACATTTACATCTACAAACAGTCCTTCAAAGTAAGAATTTATTGTTTGAGGAGCCATTTTTACACTGTTTGTATAATGACAGTAAATGTAATGTTTTTTTTCTTTTTGTTCTTTTCTGTTTAGACAGCAGAGATAGGTATGACTGAAAATGTTGGTGACAGCGGCCTGCGTTTTGAGATCTGGTTCCGTCGGAGGAAGTCGCAGGACACGTTTATACTTCAGGCCAGCTCTGCAGAGGTCAAGGCTGTGTGGACCGCAATTATTGGCAAGATCCTGTGGAGGCAGGCGCTCAGAAACAGAGGTGTGTGTTCCCCGTCAGATTATGCAGTTTGACACAAGCCATTTCCTGTGCAGTTCTATACAAATAAAGTGAAATGTTCTGTCCAGGTAACATACATATTTTGTCAATAAAGAAAGATGTACTTTTTGTACTCCAGAGTTGCGCATGCAGGAGATGGTTTCCATGGGGATTGGAAGCAAACCTTTCATGGACATCAAGCCTAGTGATGCAGCTATCAGTGACAGAGCCATTGACTATATAATGAAGGGGTCAGGTGAGCTGTTCTTGTACAAGTATGTGTTTTAATTCCCTCCAGCTGTCTTTCTCTATCATTTACCTCATAATCATGCAGTGACACAGATTATTTCTTTGCTGAAACCACAAAAACGTGGTTCTGGCCCTACAGGTGTTTTACATGCCAGTCATGTTTTGAGCTTTTTTTTAAGTAAACACCTCAGATGTAATCTAAGCCATACTGAATTTTAAGTGTCATTAGAACCACAGTGAAATAGTTTACATTGTCACTCTTTTGTGGTTTATCAGAGATGCTGTAAAAAAAAAAAAAGAAAAAAAAAAGATCACCCTCTCATTATCACCATTAAAAACCACAGGAATTTCCTGTCACTTTTTCTCCCTCACGCCATCTCACAGCTGACTTCGTTTCTCTCTACTGGCAGAGTCTAGAACGAGAGCTTCCATCGCCGTGCCCTCCTTTGAACACTGCTCGTCGTTCAAGAGACCTCACTCCACCATCTCTAACAGCAGCACCTCCTCCTCCAGCAGCCAGTCGTCCTCCTCCCTGCTGGGCTCCCTCAATCTCCACCTGTGCTCCTCGGCCTCTCACCCTCACACACATCCATACCCAATGACCACTGTTCCCTCCTTTGCCCAGTGGCCCTATGACTGCATAGAGGAGGATGAGCTGGAGCAGGACACAGGGAGCCAGCCCTCCATGAGTGAGTGGCTATTTACAGATGGATAACGTATGTTTATTTTGATAATTAAAAACAGGTGAACATTAGATAAAGAAAAATTCTGGGTGAAAAAAATATTTGATTTTTTTTTTTTCATGGGGGGTATGTAATCTGCAGCTCATTTATGCTTTCTCCATATTTTTCTCCTCACTTTTTATTGCTGAAAGTATTTTCTGAGCTGTCAGTGTTACACAAGAATATGATTTAATGTAAACTGCTGGAATCAGCATCATCTTACAGCAGAAAACTACTTTTGGGGATGTGTGGGGAAATTCAAATTTGGGTAAACGAAATAACAGTTTAAACAATTAAAAATATATATATTTATATAATAATTTGGCATTTATCAATTGAAGAAGACCCTTTAGACAATAAAAAGAAGATAAAAGAAGTAAAGTTAAACACTATTAAGTAGAGGAGCCCTTCATTCTAAAAAATATGTACTAAGATAAAAACAGCATTAATTTAATTAAAAAAAAAATACAACAAGGAAATAAAAAATATATAGTTAGTCTTATGTGTAGCATTTTTTTTTTTAAGTAGACGGAATTGCTGTCTTTTTTTGCTGCTACCACTAGGGGTCGCTAAAGTCCAAACATTTTAAATCCACATTAGAGCTTTAAGAATCCATAAAAGCCTTGACAAACATGGTAGCTGCCAACCTAATGGAGCTCTTCATGTACTTCTGTTTTGCTTGATCCAGTAGTATAGTATCAATGTGTCTTTGTCTCTTTCGTGTCACAGTCACTGAGAGCTCAGAGACGTCCTCCCAGTGCACCTCCAGTGACAGTGTAACAGGGCTCAGTACCCTCACCATACCCGGGCACCCCAGCATTGTTATGGACTCCTACAACAACAATAACAACGACGACGAGCCCTCCTCTTTCCTCTGCCCCTCCACGCCTCCCTCCTCCATAGCGTCTCCTTCCATATTCCAGAAAGATGAAGACCTCCAACCACAGGGCACCAAGTTCATCACAGCAGTGAGTGTTTGACTATCTTCTTTATTATCTTGTCATACTGAAATGAGCTGATATTGTTCGACTGGTGACGTTGTTTTATGAGGCTTAGGGTTCGATATGTTGTGAGTTATTAGATAAAGCACAGCTGTGGTGACACTGATTTATATTTTGTGTCTCTCTCTGAATTCCTTTATTTTAGTATTCTGCTTGTATTTTTCTACTTGTGCTATTCCATTGATCGTGGGTCAGGTGTGTAATTGTGTCTAGGACAGTTAACCACATGGAGTGCTTTTCTTTTGATGATAGTTTCATTATTGTCTAATTTTATATTGAAAGACATGTAATCTACTGGGAGTATTATACTTATCTTTGTACCTCTTCATTGCTCCCTGTGATATTTTCATATCTGGCTTTTTATAAATAGATCAAAATTATACTAATAATATACTATAATCTTTCCTATTGATTCTGTGAGTCCCCTTAAGCCTGTCTAATAGTATGGAAAATTAAACCCAAAATGTACTATACTCAAATCAGTTGCCAGTTAATTGCAGTAATTCAGTAATTCAATACTTTTCAATCCAGTTCAATTCAATTCAGTACTGCAGTAAGTCGTGCACCAATTCCCACTCATACAGAATCAAGAGAATTTAAGTTTGGGACATATTGTATATTTTGCATAAACATATATATTTTTGAATATTTATGTTCCTCACACTTGTTTATTCTGTTTGGATAGTTGGTATATCTGGGTGCCTTGGAAGCAAAACGAAATGCTGTCATGTTACTTTTTTAAGGTGTGAAAAAGACACTGATGCTGAAATATAAATAAATAAATAGATAAATAAATAAAATCTAAGCTTATATGATCATATCTTTCTAAACTGCTCCTGCTCTCTGGATGTCGTTTTTTTCCTTTTGCCTGCATTTCAAAAAAACAGTTAAAAAAGTCTTTTGTCTCAAGAAGCCAGGAACATTTTATGTGATTTGAAAGACTGATTATATCCCCAATTTGACTATGATGACCAATCTTAAAAATCTGTGTAAAACTGTTTACCGTGGACAGACAGCAGAGGATATCTTGTGGTTTGAAAAGTTTTAGAGTCTCTTACCTCCTGATGAAGCCTGACACCAGGACTAGCGCAGGGGAACTAATCATTTAAACGATCTGGTATATTATAATATATATAAAATGGATTTCTGACTCAAGTGGCAGAGAATAGTTTGACTCACAACCTTTTTGCTGTTTTGTTTTTGCCAGAGCAAGACCTCTCATGTAGCAGTAGGCCTCTCTACTGTGGTCTGACTCAGAGCTGGGGGGTTTTTAGCTCAGTAAGTAAGTCTGGTGCCACCAGAGTGGACATATGTGTTGTTTCCTTCCCAAACCTCATTAACAAGTGTGAGGTGCCACCTCTGAATACTAATCTGTGTGAAAATGTGCTTTGGTGCCTGTGCTGTATGCTGCATGGCCGTGTGTCCTCGGAGGGCTCTCGTCTTGACGGGCGGTTTGATTTGTGAACTTCTGGCTCTTTCTTCGTGTTTTCCCGTGGGTTTTCTCCTCCTCTCATTTCCCTCTGTGCATCCGTTTTGACATGTGGGTGAAATGTGTGTCACAAAATATAACATGTTCTTAAGAGTTTAATGTCTGTTTAAACATGCATGTTCGTTTTGTGGTTTTGGAATGCAGTTTGGGTTGAAAGATTTTTTCTGTCGAGTTTTGTGTTTTTAAAAAACTTCTTTTTATTTGTTTGTAATGTTCAAATTCAACCTTTATTGTATCGAATGGGCAAAAAATGAATTTCAGACAGATGCAAATGCATGATCACAATATGTTTAAACATTAAATGCACAAAATATTATAGTGCAAATAACAGTATTAAATCGGATGGTGGAAAATATAGAGTGAAAGGTCTCATCTGTAGTTACATTTAAGCAAATTGAAAGCATATGGAATAAGTAAGAACTTCAGTGTTGAAGGACCTAAATGGCAATAAAACACTATTTCACTGTAACATCTTCATTATAACCCACCTTCAGGTCAGTGCTTTAAATGCTTGCTCCTTTATACTGTATGTTTTCATGAAAGTTTAGCTAGAAATATTTCTGAAGTAAGTGCTTCACTGAATTTTCGAGTTATTATCTTAAACAGCTGCTTAACTAAGCTAAGATAGTAATGCCGTTTCTTTATCTTGTAAGAAACACTGATGCCCAGTCATTGCTGAAATATTTAGGAATTCAGGGTAACCCTGTTTGATAGAATATATAATCTTTTAAAAATAGGTGTTGTGTAATGCCATTTTACATCCTAAAAATGTGTTTAAAATGGACCTTCACTTGAATGTGACATTCTTACTGACTAAAGTCAAAATATTTTGAGTGCATAATGTGTTGAAATTTATTTTTCTAAAAACCTTTTTTTTTCTCCTCCTTTCTTCATAGCTGTGAAGGCCTCGGACTGAATGCTACTTGATGCCGCAGCAGTTTGTTTATCAGGACGAGGCAATGAAAATAAGAGGAGTCCGGCTTCAGAGCACTGAGACTTTAATGGATGAAGCTCAACTATTATATGACATTTCACGATGATACTGTAAATTGGAAATTGACACATAATACACACAGTCATGATGGTACGTCAGCGGCCTGTACATTTGTTTTAATGAACTAGTAATGAATCAGTGTTTATATTGTAGATGAGTTTTTTTTATTATGTATTTTACAAAACAAACAAAAAAAAAAAGATAGCAGGCAGATCCATACAGACGATGTTATACCGTCATATTTCTTTTGTTGCCAGTCCTGTGTTATGACAAGTTTGTACAGATGATTAAAATGTTTAAAACATATTGTCGTATTTGCGTCTTTGCCACTGTATGGTTGAACATGAAATTAAGTATTTCCGCCAGTGGCTAATGTCTGCATTACTTGCAAACAAAAGGCAAGACCGTAAAACACAACTACTTCACAGTTCAGTAAGTACTTCTGTTCGTGAACCGTGCTTAAAGTGTGAGTACACTCAAAAGCACAAAAAAGTAGCAGATATTTCCATAGATAAACAAAGCTTGAGTGTAAAACCACACACTCGCAGAACCATGCAGAGAGAGAGGAGGAGCTGCACGTCGAGGCCCACTACTGCCGTTACACGAAGAGACGCAGAGGTTGAGGGGGATGAGGACTGGGGTTTCCTTCACAGGAGAGAAGCTGACATTTTTTGACCACAACTCTTGTGTTATCAGTCTGAGTCAAACATCAGACACAGACCACAGCCCGGGCTGTTCAGCAGGGGTTTCAGCTCCAACATAGGCAATTGAGACAGAACCGAAAGCCACACATGATGTACAGAAGAAAAAAAAGACGTTTGCTGGTGCGGTGGTTTTACTTCATTTAAGCATGAATTTATGACCTCCTCTACATACAAACATTTCATTTAAAGCATAAAATTCTTAAATTTCTTCTCAAATTCATCATGGCGACTTGGCGCGTTTCTCTTTAGAGAACCAGAAGCAGAGGATTGCAGAGAGGAAGACCTCAAGCCCCAACACACAAAGTGCCAACATCTCCATCTGTGAGAAACATAAAAATCAAGTATAAATGAATTCTATAGTAGCAAATCTAACTAAATATCTATTATGAAACAAGCCCAGCTCTGAGGTAATAGTGTTTTATTTTGTCATAATATTGGCATGCTCTTACCCTCAAATGTGCTTCTTTTTCTGGATTCCAGTTAGCCAGGTCAACGCTTATCAGACAGGCTGCAGCCACAGACACAGCAATACAGCCGCAGTTAACCCCATAGGACAGCTGGAACAAAAGTCATACAATTATCTAACAGCTAGTAATCACCTTCATCGGCTGTAATGTATTGTTTTTCAGGCTTCTGTTGAGTTGTACCTACAGGCACTAATGCTGGATATTTGAGCAGCAGGGTGGAAACAATTCCAGCAATGAAGAACTGCAAGAGAGGAGAGTTGACTTGAAACATCAGCAAGTTATTTGACTTGAAGATTCAATCAAAGCCTTATTGTTTTTATCTGCTTTGCTCAATGCATGTTTTTTTGTTTTTATTTTTTATTATTATTATTTAGTTCTTGTTTGAGCAGAGACTTACGAGTGCTCCAGTCAGGTGGGAAACTCTGAACAGAGTGAAAAGGGACTCATTGATCCCCTGGGTTAAAGCAAATAGAATTCCCACTCCGACACTGAGGAAACCGCTCAACATCTGCAGAGACTGAAAGAGGAACAGATGCAAACAAATATATAAACTAAATTCTGTTCATATTTGCAGTGAATAATATGAGATTTAATTTATCATCTCAGCTTCATTTCAGTGAGAATTATCGAGAGACTTTCACATGATGTGCAGAGCGGTCGTGCAACAGTAAATGTTTGGTTCAGGGCTTTTTCTTGGTATTCTACTAGGGGAAGGACACATATACTGACAGACCTGAGGACTACGAAGAGGACGGGATCTTAGTTCCTCTTGTATTAATTTGTGTATTTCATTTTGATTTAGAAATGCGCGAGCTGAGTACCTTGTCAGTGTATTTAACTTCAATTTTAACTTGCATGCATGATTCAGTGCACAGGTTCATGCCAGTGTATGTGTCCTTATTCTAAAAGTGTTACAGTAATAAACACACTGGGTTTGGAATAAAATTTACAAGATAAACTTGATCTGGAAATTAGCAAGTTTCATAAATTCCTGTTTGTCGTAATTCAATTATCTGTGTTGTTATGTAACTATTTGACACTAATCTTATGTAGACATTCTGCTAGGACCTTCTTGTGAAACAGATAATGTTTATAGTATAAATCGAAAAATGATTGTGGGAAACTTCAGCATTTCGAGCGCAATTAAACGTTTCCTGTTGCTCCTGCCCATCAGATTTTCACAAGGTTATTTTGGGCACATGTGTCTTTGCAGCACCTCTAATCTGTTTGTGATATCTAGCATGAATTATTTTGAAATTATTTTTTTAATTAAACCACATAGTCACATGGAAGAATGAGGAAAAGACTGTAATCTGCAATGTCTGTACTTCAATGTTTGAAAGGTAAAACATACACAAGGCAATGTATGAGAAGAAAATCAATCAATCAATCAACATAATTTTGTACACTACATTAAATTTTGTACAAAACACTTACACTCATGCACACTGAATGTAAGGCTGCCCTGGTTACAATCATATTTTATTATTATGAAATATAAATCTGATATAATGGAATCAATACTTTCATTCATGACGGCAATTGACGGCCGTTACATGAGGTTACGTTTACAAGTTTTCATGTTTTTGCACTTGATGAGTTTTAAAACTTTTACCCCCAACACAGCAGGCTGCTTCTGCATCAGGTCATGCAGCGGCCCTTTTTCCTCTGGGATGATCTCTGTCGCTTGGTAATGTTGCAGCACGGGCAGCTCTCCTCTGTCGGCTCTGCTCGGCTTGTCATCTCCATGGATATCCATGTCAGCGTCAGCACAGGCCATGGTTCTTCTCTGATCTGGAGGGATAGTGTTTTCCTTAAAATGTGTAATAATATAATAATAATATAAAATCCTAATGTGTTCTTTAAATTGTAGTGTGAATCCTTTAATACTCCTTAAGCCCCAGCATGGTAAAACCATGCGTAGCCTAAAAAAAAGTACACTAGAAAGTGTTTAGAAATAGTGCAACCTGCGTATGATGTAACATAATACATACACATAGGACAGTGCTGTAATAACCTGTTGAAACTAAGATGTAATGTTTTTCTCAGACCTGTGTGTAAATGAGGCAGACAGGATATAAATACTAGTCTCATACAAATTTGCTTTGGAAAAACTAAGTAAAGAAACAATCAAAGGAGTATTCTCAATACAATTATTAAGGAAGGTAGTATTTCTTTATGGTTAACTGCAGATGAAAGACAGAGAATAGATATTTAAATATTTGTAGGTCTAGGAACAATCATAATCTTAGGGTCTGGAATTGTGCATCATTGGTTTCTCATGGTTATTAAATAAACAGAGCGGATTTTCTTTCATCAAACAAACTGGATAAGAATTAATTCTATTTAACATAATATAATAATGTATCACAAATTTAACCTGTTGTCATAGCTCAACGTCTTTTGGCTACATGATACAAAAACATTAGCAGCAGGTCCCAGCTGTTTTATCTACATATTTTAGTGTTTCTTAGATTTAATATTTAACAAACATGCACAAAACTTGTATATACAGAGAGACTTTAAGATGCTTGCAAATTCATATTCAGTGGCCTACTGAAAATATGTACAACAAAACTTCTCTTAGTGCGATTCAGAAAAGATCTTAGATCGGGATTCTTACCACGTTTGGCTTGAGCAGTATTTATTTCACCCTCTGTATCTGTCTCCGAATGCGTCGTTCTTTAGACATTTTCACTTCCCTGCAAATACTTTGAAATATGATGTCATATCACACCTTGACTTCCTCAATCTGTCTAGTCTCTTCAGTATTACTATGTTTTCTCCTCAGTGCCGCATTACTATAAATTGTATGTTATGATGTTCCTGATTCAACAAAAACTATTTTCTTTTAAATTCATGAACAGAAATGAGTTTAAATATTAGGTCTTTACAGTTTTGAATGTTTACCAGATCAAATCAGACTGTGCACAAGCATTTTGTGGGTTTTTTTGTAGCGTATTTGTGTGTGCATATGTGTGAGAGAGAAGAGAGATAAAGCGGGAGGGGGGGGGGGGGGGGGGGGGGGGGGCTGGGGGGGGGTGGTGGGGGTGGTGGGGGGGGAGGGGGATCCGGTGGGAGTGGGCGGGGGGTGCGGGGTGGGGGGGGAGGGGGGGGGGGGGGGGGGGGGGGGCGGGGCTCGGGGGTGGGAGGGGGGGGGGGGGGGTGGCGCGGGGGGGGGGGGGGGGGGGGGGGGGGGGAGGGGGGGGGGGGGGGGGGGGGGGGGGGGGGGGGGGGGGGGGGGGGGGGGGGGGGGGGGGGGGGGGGGGGGGGGGGGGGGGGGGGGGGGGGGCGGGGGGTGGGGGGGGGGGGGGGGGGGGTGGCGGGGGGGGGGGGGGGGGGGGGGGGGGGGGGGGGGGGGCGGGGCCGCGGGGCGGGGCGGGGGGGGGGGGGGGTGGCGGGGGGGGGGGGGGGGGGGGGGGCGGGGGGGGCCGGGCGTGGGGGGGGGGGGGGGGGGGGGGGGGGAGGGGCGGGGGGGGGGGGGGGGGGGGGGGGGGGGGGGGGGGGGGGGGGAGGGGGGGGGGGGGGGGGGGGGGGGGGGGGGGGGGGGGGGGGGGGGGGGGGGGGGGGGGGGAGGGGGGGGGGGGGGGGGGGGGGGGGGGGGGGGGGGGGGGGGGGGGGGGGGGCGGGGGGGGGTGGGGGGTGGGGGTTGGGGGCGGGGGGGGGGGGGGGGGGGGGGGGTGGGCGGCGGGGGGGAGGGGTGGGGGGGGGGGGAGCGCGCGCGGCGGGGGGGGGGGGGGGGGGGGGGGGGGGGGCGGGGGGGGGGGGGGGGGGGGGGGGGGGGGGGGGGGGGGGGGGGGTGGGGAGGGGGGGGGGGGGGGGGGGGGGGGCGAGAAAAGGGGGGGGGGGGGGGGGGGGGGGGGGGGGGGGGGGGGGGGGGTGGGGGGGGGGGGGCGGGGGGGGGGGGGGGGGGGAGGGGGGGGGGGGCGGGGGGGGGGGGGGGGGGGGGGGGGGGGGGGGGGGGGGGGGTGGGGGGGGGGGGGGGGGGGGGGGGGGGGGGGGGGGGGGTGGGGGGGGGGCGGGGGGGGGGGGGGGGGGGGGGGGAGGGGGGGGGGGGTGGGGGGGGGGGGGGGGGGGGGGGGGGGGGGGGGGGGGGGGGGGGGTGGCGTGGGGTGGGGGGGGGGGGGGGGGGGGGGGGGGGGGGGGGGGGGGCTGAGAGAGAGCGAGGGTGAGAACAAGAATATATCTGATCTGATGTGCCTAGTCATTTCCTTTTCAAACTTGTTTGACAAAGCAGAGAATTTTGCGTCCAATTCAAGTTAGAAGAAAAATAAAAGGTACGTTCCTGAACACCTCAGCAACAGCTCACCAGATATAATGATATGATATAAACTGCTTCACCGTCTTTTGCACTGATCTTGTTCACAGGAGAATGAAGAAGACATTTGTGTGTAATGAATCGATGATCATCACTATACCTGTTGGGAATCTCAGGGATGCTGGAGCGGGCCAACTGATGCCAGAAAGGTTCCACTGTGTGTTCAGAGATTCCTTCAAGGTCTTTGTTGTTAAGGGAAAACCTAAACCTCTTGGAGTAAGTTGAATTGTTTCCTATACAGGTAGAAATGTGTGGCAACATGCAAATAATTTTTTTTTTCTGGCATACATTTACACAGTTGCTGCATTGTTATACAGTATTTTCTGTTTGTTTATTTATTTCTCTTTTTTATAAGGCAGTCCAAGCCATCGCTGGTGTGTTTCTTTGCACTCTTGGTCTGATTTTTGGACACGAATTTGCCATGAACTACACTCTACCCAGTGTTCTGGTAAATACAGTTTCAAAAAATAGCCAGAAAATTCTATTCTGGATGATTCTTCAAAGAATTTGAATGAGTAATAAAATTAAAATTACAAATCAACCACTTTATGTTATATTTCTACTGTTAGTGTGTGATGAGGAATACTGTGCTTATGCGTCCTTTAACTGCTGTGACACTTCCTATCTCACCTTCTTTTAATGCTAAACAGTATTAGTGTTAATTATTATATTTCTGTGTAAAAAAAAAAAAAAAGCTAATGTTTTATCATTACCTTATAGTTTGTGGTCTCTGGTATGGTGTCCTACGCTGCAGGACAAACTCCAAACATGCATGTGGTAAGTAATCTACTTTAAAATAAAGATTTTCTTTGCAAGTGAAAACTCCATCATGTGGGTTAAACTTAAAATTTTGATAGCAAAGAAATAAAAAAATTCTTTAACTATGACTTGACTTAAAAATGACTGTTGTAAAGTCTACGATATAAAGTAGTATATTTTTTTCAATGTTTAGGATAGGATTTTGAAAACAGTTTTTATTCTCTTTGAAAATTCTGTTTTTAAACAGAACTTATAGAATTAATTTTATTCAGCTCAAGATTTTAAAATGCTGTGATCGTAATCGCCCAAATATGAAGTACGTGAAATATCAGAATAGTTTTTAGTGTTCTTCAAAAGATGGATTCACAGTTAATGTAGTAATAATAATAATTATAATCATTATAATAAGACTGGTTTGCAAAAATAAACAAATTTAAATTACAGAATCTCTTTTCAATAACTCTGAGCATCATTATTGTGGTTTTATAGCTCAAGAGTTACAACTGTTGGTTTGATCACTGACTTACTTGAGCAATGCACTAACCCCCACATTGCTGCCAAAATGGACGTCTGTGTGGAGATAAACATAAATGCAATTTCATGTCTTTTTCTAGGCAAAGCTGTCATTCTCTCTGAACATTATCAGCTTCCTCTGGTCTATTGTGGCATTTTCTTTCAGCGTATTCCACTTCCTTGCTATACCTAATATGGGCTCACGTTTTCCCACGGTAAAGGAAAACACCATTACTGTCAATTGAGTCACCAATTGCTCTCTGAAATACAAAACAAATGTGTGTTCACTTTGAATAATCTTTCAATTTTTTCATAGATGACAAAAGGAATCTGTGGACTGATAATGAGTCTGCTGGTTGTTGAAAATTTATTAGCCCTATTCATAATCTACTGGCTAAGTAAAGCCATTTGCAGAGAAGAGTTCAACACTTTGGTATGTTATTTTCTTTGCAGCTACATATTCTGTTATATAAATAAAATATTGTGTAAATAATAATAGTTTTTGTTTTTTTCTGCAGCCCATCATACTGCTGAAACAGGCGGACTGAATTTAAAGGCTTGATGGAGCTCAACAAGCCAATGACCAAACCAAATTACCATATTTAGAACTTTGAACATCCTGATTGTATAGAAAGTGCATAGCAGCCTCATATGTCATATAAATATGCCATAGTTCAGAGCCATATATATCCTAATATACGCTATACAAAGAATGCGAAGGTTATTATAGTTTCTGTTTCAGAGCTAGTTGGAAAATATGCAAAGAGTGATTGCATTTGAATATAATGTGTTAGCTTTTGTTTTTGTACAATTCGCTGTTGATATTGCCTTTTAATTTTATAAAAGTAGTTGTATTCATGCAAACAAACAAAAAAAAGATGTGCTGATTTCTGCAGTAAGCTTTATTGTGAAACTGTTAAAACCTTTTTTCAACAAGTTACATTTTCTCATTGGCTTTGTATTTCATTACTCACTTTCGATTGATTGTTGTGGTAGTCCATTGATCAGCTGGTTTGATTGCATGGCTGTTTAACAGATATCAAACATTTAGGAATTAGTAGTCGTGATTGTTTTATTTCGTTAAAAACTGCAAAGATTTTAAAATTTCAGTGACACACTGGATTTTCTGTGGATTATTCAATCTCACATTGACCACTGCAATGTGGGAACATTGTAAAACTTGATTTTATGTTCTGATGTATTATAAGCTTGGCTCCTAATAAAAACTTTGATTTTGTGTGACGCTACAGCTTCAGATCAGTGGGTTATTCTGGACTGTTCTTATCTCATTTTCAAAAATAAAGGTGAGGTTTTTGCTACCAGAACTCTGCGCACTCAAGCTGGCAGAGAGTATGTGATATCTTAAAAGGTAATTAAAAAACTTTTTAAAATTTTTATCCATGACTTTTAACTTTTATTTTTAATACCTGTTAATCTGTTGATTTTTAAACACTTGAACATATATAAAGCTAATTATTTACTTTATTTACGGTTAATTTATCTTCTTATTGAGCTGAGACAATACTCCTCTATTGTAGCACAATTGCACAACAATAAAAAAAAAAAAATTAACAGACCTTCTTTTAAGAGCAGAAACATGTGTAAATGACAACTAAGCAGGGAATTTATGTTTTGATATTAGTAAGAAAAATATATTTTATTGTGGTACACTTCCTAATAACTATAAATGAAATATTTTATGTAATCTATAATAGATAATAGCCTAAGTTATGATGTAAAAAATCATGGGAGCACATAACGTGCATCAGAGACATTTAAAAAAGAATATGACACTTTTTGCATCATGTTCTACTACCAAAAAAAAAAGAAAAAGAAATATCTTAAGATTACTGAAATTCATATGGGGAAACGATAAAGAACCTTTCATGTGGATTTCTCTGCACTTAAACTACCAGAAATAACATCAACAGTAAATCTTTAGAAAATTGGTGTGCATGAGGGTCTGACTTTTCATGCTGCTCTTGGTGAAAAAATGACAGGGGGCCCTGAGGGTGTGTTTTTGGTTTCAGTGTCATGTGAAGCCATGAGCGGCCACAGGAGGGAGATAAACACACACCAAGTCAAGTTAATTTACATTTCGGTGAGAGATGTAATGTAGGAAATAGATCCATTTGACATAAAAAAAATAAAAATAAAAAAAAACTGAGTTCAAGTTCACAAAACGCAGGGGCTAACATGTTTTAAGCGTGTGGTTGTCCGGTCTGAGTTGAAGATGGGTACATGTACATGTACTGGGTACATGTAGAAATCAGCGTCTGCTCATATGTCACGGTTAAAAGTCTTAGCACGGAGGTCACGCTATAAACAATCATAGCAGCACATGATGAAGGAGCATGCGGACCTTCCGCTTTGGGACACTCCCAACTAACATGTACACCAATCAAAATCAGAAGTGAACAATTTCTCTACAACGGTCTTTCCCCTTCGTTTAACCCTCTGCTGCTCGCCCTGCGTACCTGTCACTACTCCACTTAGCTGGATATGTAATTTATACATTTACTTCGACTGTTTCCTGTCTGTTGTGGCAGTTTGTGGTGGTGGTGGTAGCTGCTACTGCTGCTGCTGCTGCCTGCTGCTGGTGCTCTCCTGGCTGCGTCCTCCTGCTATGGCGTCCGTGTATAGCGGATCCCACACCTTGAGCAAGGATGATGTGAATTACAGGATGCATTTCCGAATGATAAACGAGCAGCAGGTTGAAGATATCACGATAGAGTTTTTCTACCGGCCGCATACGATAACACTACTGACATGCACGGTGCTCAGTCTGATGTATTTCGCCTTCACAAGGTAAAGTCGTTCACAGCTAATGCTAGCTCGGGGGGCGGGGGGGGGGTTAGCTCGGTAAGCTAGCAGGAGCAGTGATGCTCTTGAGTCTTTCCTGGATTTTCTCACTGAAAGTAACTTTACACCCGCATGTAGATACTGGAATGACTAATTCACTCTTAACTACCTCCAATTTGCTACAATTAATCGATAACCGAAGCTGTTAAAGAGAAGCGTTGTGTTATATAATGTTAGTCCAGTGATGGACATGGTTTCCTGTGCTGACATTAGCTACAACCATGTAACTTGTAAGGAAACGGGTCGTAATGTCACATTTAAAATGATTGATGACGGTTTTACCAACCACAATTTGTCATATAAATCTAATCTAATGTAATGTAAACACTGCTGTCTTTGCCAGTTGCAGTTTGAAGCTTGGAGACATGTGAGGCACATTCACATCAGTAAAGCTGTGGAGGGGAGATAATGTTATAAAATGGTCAGTTTAACATATTCCACAGCGTCGGTGGATATTTCTGATTTCTGTTTACCCTTTCTGCAGAGATGATGGAAACCCCGACAGTAATCTCTGGGTGGGGCTCATCCTGGTCATCTCATTCTTCCTCATCATCAGTGTTTTGGCATTTCCTAATGGTAAGCAAAAAAAAGTGTGTGGATAGCCCTTAGATACAGTTTATCTAAAGGTGCTTTACAGTCATGTTTTAGCACAATAAATAATAATGACTGCTTTACATGAGACCCTCCGCTAATAATGACCTCATTAGCCAAGCTTGTATGAGCTAAATTTGTCAACAACCTTATCTATCATGGTGTCATTAGTATCATTCTTGTCACTATTGTTTGTACAGTTTGTACAGGGATGGTAGTAGATACGTGTATGTGACATAATACTAAAAAGCTGATTTGTTAGTTTTGTTTGATGATTAGCATATTGTGTATCTGTGTTTATCTTGTAATTTATTTTGGGTTATATCTTTTTGATATAATCTTCCTTGTTGTAGGCCCATTCACCAGACCACATCCAGCAATATGGCGAATAGTTTTTGGTGAGTATTTGCTATAAGTCCCTGAGTGCTGTTGTTCAGACCCTTAAATTTTCCTTCTAAATGTCATGTCCTTCTGCTTTCAAGGTCTGAGTGTCCTCTACTTCCTGTTCCTGGTTTTCATCATCTTCCTCAACTGGCAGCAGGTGAAGCAGCTAATGTATTGGTTGGACCCAAACCTGCGTTATGCCAAAAGAGAAGCAGACATAATGGTGAGTGGTTTAGGCTTACACAGAAAGTCATTTTCAGATTGCTTTACATGCACCAGTTGTGTTCCCTACCAAGGGATTATCAATCTCTTTAATGAAGCTTTATGTGCCGCTTTCTGCAGGAATATGCGGTGAACTGCCATGTCATCACGTGGGAGCGAATCATGAGCCATTTTGACATTTTTGCATTCAGTCATTTCTGGGGCTGGGGTATGAAGGCCCTGCTCATTCGAAGCTATGGCCTGTGTTGGACCATCAGTATTACCTGGGAGCTTACTGAGGTACAGACGCACACACCAGCCGAATCTTGTCATCACACGCTTAGCGTCCTGTGGTATCACTTTCTCTCTGTCTGCCTCTCCCTCCGTCTTTCTCTTTATAATGGAGACATTTTAAGGTCAACTAAGCTGCTGATGTAAGTGGTTTATCTAGTGAAATTTGATGATTCGTTTTGTCCTTTCTCAATAACTTTATATAACGTAATAAATATATGTTTGAAGGCTGAAGACTACAGTTTTTCAGATATGATGTAGACTCATTACCTTCTCCTCTCCTGTTCACATAGCTGTTCTTCATGCATCTGCTCCCTAACTTTGCTGAGTGCTGGTGGGACCAGGTGATTCTGGACATTCTGCTGTGTAATGGAGGGGGCATCTGGCTTGGCATGACTGTGTGTCGCTTTTTGGAGATGAGGACCTACCACTGGGCTAGTATTAAGTATGACATTGCAGTCTGGAAATTAGCTACAATTGTGTAAAGATTTTATCTAGTTTTGCGTCGATCCTAGATCTGTGTGAAGACTAGCAACTCAAACATACTCATCTATTTTCAGTTGCCTTTTCTTTCATTTAAAAGTTGTGAAAAGGGAAGTGGGGGTTTATATTATAAGCCTCGTGCATCTATTTCATATGATCAGCCCTGATCCAGTAACAATGCACCTAGTATATTGTCTGCAAAACTAATAGTTCTTTGTGTTTTGGCCTTTATAGTTTATTATGCAAGCTGACCTTCAGCTGAGTATACGCCAACTAATATATTTAATTTGCTTTTACTATTTTGTACCATCATAATAAATTCTGTTCCACTCTAGCAAGTTGTTTCAGATGCACCTTGAAGATGTATAAATTGTTGTTTTGAAATATGATCCCACATGTTCATCAGGGAGGAGTGGACTGAATGTTTAATGTCATGGCATTACTTTCATCTGGCTTTGTCTACCGCACTAACATAATACTTACTGTAAAATTATCTGCAAGCCTTTGTAACCCTTCTCCTGTGCTTCCCATCCAGGGACATCCACACCACCACAGGGAAGATCAAACGAGCCGTGTTACAGTTCACCCCTGCAAGCTGGACCTATGTTCGCTGGCTTGACCCAAAGTCCTCCCTGCAGCGAGTGATGGGCGTCTATCTGTTCATGATCATCTGGCAGGTGGGTCAGGGAGAAATCCTCTCTCGCCATCTCATCGGGGACTAAGTGCTGACTAGTTGGAGATCATCCAATGTGCTCTGCGTGCTAAGTCCTGGCTAATCTTGGCTCCTTCGTTGTTGAAATCTAAAACCTGTCCTACATGGATCTATATAATGCTTGAGTGTCTTACTGTCTACGCATTAACAGCTAATCCCATAAGAGTGAAAGAGGCTGGATTACTTGGGAGCAATTTATGGTAATGAGAAAACCATGGCTGGAGAACTTGAGTGAGCTCCATTGCTCTTCACTGGAGAGTAAGTTGCCAAAATCTCTAGACCCTGGCAGCCATAGCGATGAAAAGTGGTGTTTCTCTCATTTTTGTGTGGTGATGAAACAACATTGTCACCCCCTCTCTCTTACTCAGGCAGTTTCCAACTCTCTTGAGGCTTTAAATAGTAATTACCAGTCTTTGAGTATTAGCTGAAGAGACGGGAGGCCGCTGAGCTCTGCTCGGTGTGGTGACAGTTTAGCTGATCTTTGCTGAGTTCTGCCACGCAGGCTTCGAGCCAAGTGTGTGAATAACACAGCAGCAAGTCTCCCTCTCATTATCTTCCAGTGCACATGAGAGGGACTTGGACAGTGTGTCCCTCAAAATGAACTGCCACTGTTGTTGCCAGTGTGTTAAATCAAGTGAAACTGGCATTGTGAGAGAATCTTTGTTTGTCAGTGTCCTAACCTCAACCCAAAGTGGTTTCAGCAAGAGTTACATTTATGTTATTTAATATATAATTTATATACTGTATATGGCCAGTGAAAAGTTTCTCTAGCATTTCATTCATTTTAAATATCCTAACACTAAAAATATTCTGACATTATTTTACTGGAAATGACTAGGAGTTATACAGAAAGGTTCAGATTTCATTAGTCAGCACTGTCTATATGTTTCAACTACAGGCTGAACTGATGGACCTTTTCAGGGCATCTGCCATTAATAAAGTCTCATTCTTATGCTTACTCGCAGCAGCCATTTTGACTTGAACACAGGTTTAACTAATAACAACAATAATGGCTGCTTTCCTTTAAGGTGGGCCAGGTCCAGGGCAGTGCTTTCATCCACACAGTCTCACTGACATGGCTTCCTGGTACATATTAACGGAACAGAGCCGTTATTAAATGTCACTTTCTACACCTGCGCCTTCCTCTTTATGACATCTACATGTCTGCCATCAAAGACATTGATGTTCCCCAAAAAACAAATACAGGAACACTCTGAGCCACTCTGCACTCATTATGACGGCCAGACAGTGGCATGTTCTTTATTGGCCAAGTGAGTCATCTGACCTAAATCCAACTTAGCATTTGTTTTACTTACTGAATACATGATGGAAGACAAAAAGCCCCCAAAACAAGCCAAACTATCCGTGAGGAAGATACTGCTCTTTAAAGTCAAATTTATTATTAATATTTGCAAAGGATTTGGATAAAAAATATTTAGGATTACTTTTATTTATTTGGACGATGTGTAGAAAAGGCTAAAAGTGAAAACTTTTAACATGTTTGAATATGCTTGTGTTACATAGGTTTTATATATATTATCTTCTGTCTGTCGTCTTTTTTTGTTCACAGCTAACAGAGTTGAACACGTTCTTCCTCAAGCACATTTTCGTTTTTCCCGCAAGCCACGCTCTTAGCTGGTGTCGGATTCTGTTCATCGGTATCATCACAGCTCCAACAGTGAGGTACAGACACAGTTTTATTAGCAGGGAACTGATCCCTAGAAACTCACAATGACATTTTTACACGTCACATTTAAATCATGTTTAAAAAAAAAAATTCAGATCTTGCACATTGTTACGTGCTTATGTTGTTTATCCTTGTTTGACAGTATGAGAAAAAATGCCAGCCCATAAAAACAGAAACTGCAGGTGAAATTTGTTAATGTTTGCACTTTGTTTTTTTTTTTCACTTCAGGCAGTATTATGCGTACCTTACAGACACACAGTGCAAGAGAGTTGGAACACAGTGTTGGGTGTTTGGGTAAGTGAAACATTACACAAAATTTTATATAAAAATTGTAGCCCTGACTAAAGCTTTTTTAAGTAAGGCCCCCAAAATCAGTTGTATAACACAGCATATTTATGTGTGAATTGCAGTGTGCTGCAGGTGGGTCAGAGGTTTCACTTGTGTGTGTTTGTTTTTTCTTCCGTCACTCACAGGGCAATTGCCTTCCTGGAGGCCTTAGCGTGTATTAAATTTGGACAGGACTTGTTTTCAAAAACACAGATCCTCTATGTGATCCTCTGGCTTCTGTGTTTGGTAAGATCAGAATTACATGCATTTCTCTGTCAGAGTGATTTACTGCAGTTAATAGTACGCTCGTCAGGCTTTAAAATGTATGAAATATTGTACTCTAACTTTGCCACTAACATCATAATTTTTCACATTTCACACATTGTTTATGGATTTTCCATGAATCATTGATTAGTCTCTGTTATGTTTTATCTGTCTTTAGGCTTTCATTACATTCCTGTGCCTGTATGGAATGGTGTCGTATGCTGAAAATTATGGTCCAAGAGAAAAGGTATGTTTATTGCTTCAGTTTTAGTGTCTTAAGCCTTGTTAAGTCTGTCACATAGTTTATTACAAAGGGTAATTCATGTTGGTTTTTGTTCAAAAGTACTTTAACCTTGTCGGGGATATATTATGTCCTGGGAAGTGTTTGTTGAAGGAACTGGTTAGTATTTGTGTTTGCTTAAAACCCTAAGGCAATGCTGGTTTACACACCTGCACAAGCGATAAAACAAGAGCCTCTTTTGGATATGCACCTATTAATGCAAATGTAAAGGCACGTTAAAAGTCATGATAGCAATCTTTCTATTCTGAACCCAGTAATATTTTCTTATCACATCCAAAGAAAGAGTGCTAGGGGAGATATGACCCCTTGATTTTTAACCTTTTGGTGAAGGGCAAACAAAGACCAAATAAAAAAACACAGAAATGAAAAAATCAAAAAAAAAAATCTTGTACAACCACAGTAACAGTCAAAGCAGCAGCTGCTCCCTATATTTTCAGTCTTCATCACCACCAATTCCATGGATGAAATTGTGACTTTACAACACTTTACATTCAGCATGTGGGCATACTGAAATGAATTTGACTGTCAGCCAGTAGAAAGTAGACAGCAGGAATTCTCTATCTAATAAATAATGAGATTGATGAGGATTGCATGTCTGAATAAAGCCCAGACAAACAGTTACACAATGAGAGCTACTGTGTGTCTGAATGACAAAAAGCTACGTACATCTTTGACAGATAGGTCAGTGAATAATAACTTGGAGGCCTAGTCCTTTTAAAGATTCTTCTCGTTGACTGGGGTCAGTTACCTTGTTTATGTACAGTTAATGGTACGTGTGTCATGTGTCTGAACCTCCTCTCTTCTCACAGAGCCTCTCAGAATGTGAGGACAGTAATTACACAGAATCTGCTGACTATGTGTTCGAAGGATTTAAAGGTACAGTGTCTTTCAACCACATAAAAAGCCTCATAAAAGTCATCCAATCCTTTAAAGGGCTTACCTCTAGTATTTGGACTGGTGCTTTCCTTATACTGTAAATGTGCATATTTACTTACACTGTAAATGTCATCATATTTCAGGAGAGACGGAGGTGGATGGAGACAGCCCTACAACAAGACGGAGAGGAAAGGGCTCAGGAAAGATCAAATCCATCAACGGCCTGGACGGCCAGTAGGAGTTAAAGCCAGAGGGCAGTGGGCGACTCCTGAACTTACCCCAAGGAGCCAGATGTGGAGGTGTGGTCACAGGTTGAATAGGGGGTTAAGAAACGACTACTTCCAGGTGTAATTGAAGTCTAGAAAGCCCCCACCTATAGTAGAGGGAATGGAGACAGGCAAGACTAAGTGGATGAACAGGTCCATGTGGTGTTATTAGGAGTGTGCAGAGGCTTGGACTACAGAGATGCACACTAAACAGTGTGATGTAGTCATAAAAGCTCCTAAACCACGGATCACAGGTTTGTGTGCATGTGTGATGAGAGAGAGAGGAATGGTGGTATTTCGTGTGTGTGAGAGAGAGAAAGAGGTGGCAATAAAAACGGCCGACTTTAGATGTGACTGCATGATCATTGTAGCTGATAAACTATAATTTACAAACATTTATCCTATGATACAGTATATCGTTGATGGTTAATGTACATCTGACTGGTTTACGCCAGCCTTAACTCCAGTATGTGGGTTCAACACATTTCAATGTTAAAAGCCATTATGTAGAATTTATCACATTAATTAGAGCCTCTGTGTTTATAGGACAGAAATGCTTAAGTCTTTTTATTAGTATCTGTCATAGATTGTCTATTTACATCAAAGATGTTCACATTTGTTTTGTGTTTATAACTTGAATGTGGACAGGATTTCAATGCAAGACATCTTTAGCTTGTTAGCATCATCGACTGAGGTTTGTGTTTGATCTGGAACAAAGCGAAGCACACAGTTTAAGCACTTTTCAGAATGTTTTCTTGGAAATACTGTACATTTTGTAATGCTTGTGTATTTTGTGAATCTATGTGACCTTGAGTGATTTTACTCTCCCTGTCCATCTGTGGCTGCTATCTCTTTTTTGTTGTTTGTTTGTTTTGTTTTTAACTGTACTGATAACAGAGGGCAATTATTCAGATTCCTGCATGTGTTGTCAGGCTCTTCCTGTCTGTGTGCAGGTGGTATTGTTTTACTGTCAACCTTCTTGTTATTGCATATATTGCATTTGCATGGCTGTGTCAAATCAAATCAAGTGTTTTAGTGGGAAAATGTTACACGAGTAGTCAACAGATCTTTGTATTACACCACACACCAGGATGCCAGTATTGTTATTTTTTATGTCTTTCGCTGTAATTGTAACATTTTAATTCACCCCTCGTGCCTGTTTGCATGTTCTTTTTTTCTTTTCTTTTTTATTCTTAACTTTTCTCAGTTTGTATTAAGACTAAATTTGAGCTTTTTGTGTTTGATTCTTCTGCCCTTATTTTCATTTGCTCTGTCAGTATCATCTCAGTACAGATATATCCCTCATAATCCTCGACAATCCAGACGTTGACCTCTGTGGAATGGACCAGGCTGCCGTGCTACAGTAGACACTATAAATGGTACATTGTCTCTGGATTTAGATGTCATTTGCCAAAAACAATTCCACTGAAAATGACTTGTGCTGTTCTTTTTCACTGTGAAATAATGAAACATATTAAAATGTTTTACATCTCCTTAAACTCTTTGAGCTTTTTGTTGAAAGAATCTGCCCTTTTTTTGTTTTTTGAAATAATACTACGCTTATACCCTACTTTCAAAAATAAATGTGTTACTCATTGAACAAGTTTTTTTGTACTTGCTATCACATAAATATAAGTATTAGGCAGTTTGTTTACTTGACAATAGGAAATCATGAATGACCTTGCTCAACCCCTGAAGAGCACCCTGCTGCAAAAAGGAGTGCCAGATTGGCTGACTCAAACACTGCCTGTCTCGGATCAGATTTCACTCCGTCTGCACACCGTGAAACTCAGAGACTGAAATAGCTCCCTCATGCTGACCTATAACAACATGTATTTCAAGGTACGCTTGATGTTCTCTCGGAAAAAGACAGCAGTAAATGTCATATAGTGCAAAACATGACCAGTAGAAGCAGAGGTACAGCTAGAAATTCAGAGTCTACTGACAGAAAACCCATTGAGCTATCAGCAGGTATCGCCCCACAGTGAGTATTAAGGCACATTGCAATACTATGTCACATGTTGCATTTTCTGGCTTTGAATCCGGCCTTTCAAGTTTAATACATAATATACAGAAACGAGGAATGATGTCTGCTGAATGTGTTCTGAGAAGTAAAGAAAACATTGCAAGGGCTGAAACCACTTTATCTCCTCAACTTGTGTTTAATTTGATTTCCATACGAGGGCGGCAGAGAGCCTCTGTGCTGTGCAAGATGTCATGTGACCATCTGGGCCTAAAACACAGCACATGAGTGTGCACTCTAGTGTTGCAGTGCCCTGCGTTACTAGCCCTCTCTTCATCATTTGCTCCATCTCTTAAATTACCAGTCTGTGTTTTTTGGTTTCCTGAACCTCCAGTTTCCTGCATCAGCCGACAGTCTGTTAGCTTTAAGAACATCAGGATATTTCAGTCATGGCCATGAGTCCTGGTCCACGAAGTTGTGGCAGCCTGAGTCCTGAGGGGATCCTGAGAGAGATCCAGATCAATTTGATGGAGTGTAAAGTCTGCTTTGAGAAGTTCTGCACTCAGCAGAGGGAGCGCAGGCCACAGAACCTTTCCTGTGGCCATGTACTCTGTCTGGAATGCATCACAGCTCTGTCCCACCCTCTCCTGAGGAAGCTGGAGTGCCCGTTCTGTCGACAGCTGTGCAGTGTTGACAGCACCTCCCACTGCCAGGTTCTTAGTGACCTCCAGGAGCTGCTGTTGTCCCGGAGTCCTGTATCGTCTGCTCCTCCTCACAGGGCAAAAGGAGGCCTTAGCTTGTCTGCAGGTCTGACATCCACAGCTCTACACCTCTACACAGCTTTTGGCAGTTGGGGGACTCTTATCAACCCCACTGGGATAGCTATATTAGGGTCCTCAGGGACAATAGTGGTGGTGCACGATGAAGAGATGAGGGTGGTGGTGTTCAGTCCGCAGGGTAGGAAGTTACACAGTTTTGGACGAAGAGGACAAGCCAATGGAGAGATCTGTTACCCAGTGGATGTGGCGGTGACTCCCTGTGGTCACGTGGTGGTGACTGATGCAGGGGATAAAGCCATGAAGGTTTTCACCTCCAGAGGGAACCACGTGTTGACGGTCAAGGATTCTTTCCAGATGCCCTGGGGTGTGGACACAGACAACTGTGGGTACCTCCTGGTCTCAGACATCCTGGCTGGCACACTGTTCCATGTAAAAGTGGACTATGTTCATGGTGTTATTCTGGAGCATCACACATCCGTTTCTGACCTCCAGCATCCAAAAGCAGTGGCCTGCTGTCCAGTGACTGGGAACACTGCAGTGATGGAGCACTTAACTGATGACACACATCCACCAGACAGGCAACAACACACAAGGCTGAAAGTGTTTACCAAAGACTTCCACCTGCTTCATCAGACAGACAGTTTCAGCCTGACCCTGCAGTCCTCAGTGAGGCTGAACATGTCGGGTGTGGCGTTTGAAGGAGATGGAGATGTGATTGTGATTGACTCTGAACAGGGGATGGTTTGGAGTTTAGGGAAGCTCCACAACGGCCCAGTCCTGACTCCTCTTGTGGGAGACAACCTTATCCGCCCAGTTGGACTAGTGTCACTGAACAACATGCTCATCATTCTGGACAGTGGAGACCATACAGTAAAGATTTATTCTGCTAAATCTGATACTGGACCCATGATATAGCTCATGTATGAACCGGCCCAGAGTAGCCTATGTAAAATAGAGATTATCATATTGTATAGTGATGTGGTTACCTGGCAATATATTTACATTGAAAATGAAAAATGTGAATATAATGAGTGCTATTGTATACTTTGTAGTATTGGTTGTGTGATCATGTCATAATAATGTTTCTGTCATGTAGTTACTGTCCCCCTATTTACTGAAAATAAATAGCATTATTTGTGAATACATAATACATTACTTTCCCAACCAGCAGTCCCAATAATAATCTAAGAGCTAACAAAATGATTAAAGGCATAAGAAAGCAAAAAATATAAATCTTATTCAAAACTTTTCTTAATTTTGCTGTTTTCTTGTAAAACACTGGATGCCTCCACCTTTCTGGAGCTAAAAAAAATCCTTCAAATCAAACTATCTAAAGAAAACAAAAAAAATCACTCTTGGTTGAAATGCTCACAATTCATGTCCACAAGGCCAGAAAGCTGTGATGAGTGGTTAAACAAGCAGATTCCTTCATTTTAATGGGGTCAGTACTTTAACTACTGCCGATACTTATGTAGTTTTACTTAAGAAGGCCTTTTCATTCTTGTAATGGAGTATTTTTACATTGCTGTATTGATGCTTTTACTAAAGTAAGGATCTGAATTCTTCCAGCACTGGCCCCTTCGCATTTCATGATTACAGACTGCATCCAATCAGTGTAATCAGTGACTGATAACTACTTTTGTCAATGGAGCAAATCTTAACACAGCAGTAAGAAAAATGCTTTGCTGAGTGGGGACTTGCGAGCAGTGGACCAGATTCAGCCTCATGAAGAGTCTTGGAAAGCTCCTCTTCCAAAAATGAGGGGTGATTAAAGCTTACTGTACACTTTATTGAAGTCTTTGATTTTCATCTAAATGTGGTTTTATGGTAAAAAATGGACAGATAAATAAGACTTTACTGAACAAAAAATTTAATCTGTGTTTTGTTTAAGGAGCCTGTCACAAAATACTCAAAAGAAAAATGGAACTACTGCTACACGTTGAGGATGATACGCTTAAACTTTCCTTATAATTTGGATATTTAAGCCCCTAAAAGTGCAGTTTACATTCTAGATTTTTAAAGGTCCTAAAACATCAATAAATTAGATTTTAAAAATGACCAAAAAATGACTCTTTTTGTAACTGATCTGAGCTGTGATGAAGGGTGTGGGGTGCACTGGGACTCCTGACATCAGTATTTTCAACAGCATGGCTAATGTGTTTCATAAATGTTTTGGTGACTGTTAAAAATGAAATGTGTTGTATGTGTTGGGGGGTGGGGTGGGGTGGAGGGGGGGACTCAGACTCCTGCCCTCAGTTCTTTTTTCTTCTTAAAACCTGGCTATGGCCCTGCTGCCATTGCTCCCAATAAAACTGTCAATGATATTTTTATGATTATTATTAATCTCATGTTGTGTGTGTGTGTGTGTGTGTGTGTGTGTGTGTGGTTCTGTGTGTGGTGTGCTTGCGTGCGTGCGTGCGTGAGAGTAGAGAAGAGAGAGAGAGAGAGAGAGAGAGAGATTAGGTCATCTTTTAAGACTGTTTAAACTTCCTTTTTTGATTTTAATAAACCCTCCTCTCTTCATCCCTACCTTTAAATTGACTTGTCATGATGCGTGTCGTCGGTCCATGTAAACCAACTTGTCATTCCGCCTCACATTTCTAGTCCCCCGGTTTCACCCCCCGATGAGCGGCACGGTGCGTTCCTCCTTTCCCCCTCTGTGGCTCAGCCGTCTCCAGTCTGCCAGAGGATAGCAGTCGTGCTCCCAGTGGAAGATGGCGGTGGGGATGCTGTCTGGGGCTGGAGCAGAGCACTGGATTTGCACAAGAAGCGAACCCGGGTGGATATAAAGGAAAAAATGAACATATTTCCATCTCTTCTCCTCGAGGTCTGGACTCTTTTGGGGTTGTTTAAGTAGAGTCTGCTGCCGTTTTTCCGGCAGAAATCCGGGCTTCTCGTCGGGGATTCACAGACTATACACTGATAGCTCGGCGCATAGACAGGGTGGGAGTGAAAAGTGGACGAAAATGTCGGATACAAAGGTAAAAGTTGCAGTGAGAGTTCGGCCCATGAACCGCAGGGGTAAGTGTTAAAACGACGATTTCTGTTTGCAAACTCGCATTTCTGTCTCCCTCGGATTCATGCTACATTATCATAAAGTTTTGATTTCTTCGCCATTGCTGCTTTCAGCTTGAGTTATGAGCCTGAAGTCAGACTTGAGTGCAGTTTAAACACAGTCAAAGAAGCCAGGATTTTACTTTTCACACCCCCGCATTCTGCTTCACTTTCCCAACAAACTTCTCTCTGCAGAAATTGAACTGAACACAAAATGTGTCGTGGATATGGAGGACAACCAAACAGTTCTTCACCCACCACCCTCAAATGCAAAAGGAGAGAACAGGTAAACAAAGCTGAACTACTGCCAACAGTTTACATTTGCAATTATGTCTTTTAATACGGACACACAACAACAGCAGTATAGTGCAGTGAGCTTGTTGTAGTTAAGGCATCTTTTGCCTTAACGTGGTTAGTTTGAGTGCATGAGAGTAAAAAAACGTCATTGCAGTACACAGATTATGGTAGCTCTGGGTGACTGGGAAATGCCTGAAAGTGAAAGAGCAGAAAAATATAGATTGCACTGTCACTGCAATACCCTTATCCCACCCTGGTTGTAATAGAGTTGCATCCAAGGTTACTATTTATTCTCTAACCTCCTGGTTACAAGTCAAATGACTGAAAAGTAGAGGATTAAAGCTGCACAACAAACTTTCCCTTGAATTCAAACTAAACACTTTCTTGACATAAATGCCAGTAAATAATTGCAGCGGATAAGAAGGAATGCTTAACTGCTGTTGCTGCTAAGGACATGATGTCTGCCACCCACCTGCTTGCAACATGATATTATGTTATGTAATTCATGTGAACTTTCCAATACTCATCATCTCAGCTCAATAATAATTACAACACTCTTATATTTTGCATGCCTGATGTTGTGTTTCAAGACGAAGAAAGGTGGCTGAGTGTGTCTGACACATGAAGACGCCTGTTAGACAGAATAGATTAATGTTGAGCCTCAGGGTATCACTGTAAATCTCCGGAGTCAGAGCTAATTTAAGTTATGTAGTGTTCAAAGTGGAGTTAGACCACATGGTGGCTTTATGAAATGGTGGGATGCTGCTCACTTTATCATGGCTAAAAGAGGAGCATCCTCTAATGTTTCACACTTTGCCTGCACACTGAAGGTCAACAAATAAGTTTCTGCTGGTTTGTGATCTGTCATGCTCGTGAGGAGATGTCTGGAGTCACACAACATGTAGGCTAATGATGTCTGCATGCTTGTGAAGTTGTTCAGATGTCATGCCTGTTAGCAACGGTCAGAGATGTTGCATTTCACCCATCGTAGATGAGCTAGTTTTCGGTTCGTTTGCTCTCCTCTGCTGTTGGTATCACACATGATTAGACAGCTGACCTCATTACCCACAGGCGCAAATAAATCCAAAAGGATGCTCATTTAGGGGAAAAAACCCCAAGCCTATTTGTTTTTTCCCTTTGATTTATCACTCTAATAATGTCCTTTTTCAATTATTTTAGATGAACAAACAACTGTTCAGGCCACAGTACAAGTCCACAATGTGACTGCTGAAAGTGAAGTCATAGGAGGCAAATATGTGCCACAGTAAAGGCTTTTCTAATGGCCCTGATCCAGTCTTGTTAAAGTGTAACACTCTCTCTGCTATTCCATGTAACTAACAGTCAGCATTAAATGCTCCCCCAGCAGCTCTGGTCTGCACATTAACCTGTGTTTAAGGTAATTATCAGAACAGAAATTGCCACACAATGGCGCCGTTCCAGGCAATTAAACAAATCATGCTCAAAGTTAACATGTGTGGAGTAGGATACGCAACAATGGAACAAAAAAAGCTGTTGTGGGTGAGAGGTCAGAGGAATGACAGTAGCTGTACACGGTGAGATTCACAGTGGCCACATCTCCACCAATTTCCCAGTGAGGTGATTCGTGTTTGGATCTTTCCACTACTACCTGTTGCCACGTTGTTGAGTGAGACACAAACACATTTCACATTTTCGATCAGCGGAAGTTTCCATATCAGATTTAAGATGTCGTATCAGTCGAGCAGAGATTCCTTTCATGGACTTAGAAATTGACAATGATTTCATCTTTTGCTGGATTCACTTTTGCTCTAACTGGGTTTATCCAGGGTCAGTTTTCAATCTGATTTCAAAATGTAAGTAATTATAATTCCCATGGTAGTACATCATGTAACTCCACAGTGACTCTAGCCTTGGTTTTATTATGTCACATTTCTATTCTATAGTGTAGTCCAGGCATATAATTACTTGTTAACATTTCAGTGCTAGTGCTGTGTGTGTTTTGGGTCTCTGTGTTTAGGCTGCCATGGTTTTCTTAAACCATATAATTTTCCTCTCTGCTGCTTGTGAAGCCACATAAGGGGATACCCTGATCACTAAGACTTCGCCTCGTTTTGAAAACACCTGTTCCTGTGTGTTGGAAATGTGTCAGATTTAGTGGGTATTAGCATGCCAAATATGGCCGCAGGGCCAAGATCATGGGAACTTTTTCTCTCTCATGGGAATGCTCAGGCGCAGCCTCAGGGAGGGAAAAGCAGTAATAGATATTTTTATGGAGACACATCTGAAATAAATTGAACTCCTGTTGATTTCATAGGCTGTTGATTTTGAAATACAGGATTTAACAAGGGGGGAAATTGCATAACATATTTTAGATCTCAGTGAACCTCATTTACCCTGATAGTTTTGCTCAATACCTAAAAATACTAAACATGAGTGCAGTCTGATGAAATACAGAAATTGTGTCCCTAGTGGGGTGAACTTTGAGCTAATACCATGATGGATCATTAATTAGACCCTGAAAATGTTCCAGATTGTGTCTGTGTTTTAATCAGGTTTTGCACAGACCACACAGCACCACAAAAACATGTAAGTCACGTGAAGAATTTGAAGAAATATAAGGGATTTCTTTTGATGGCTAAGCCTCATTCTTTGCATGGCTGAGCATTATAGCAACACTCGTGACCCTATCCACCCCCCCACCCCTCCTCCCCTCCTCTCTTATTTCCCTGAGAAATGAACAATAATGTCAGTGGTGGGCAAATGAAACATGGATTTTGACTTCAGGGCGACAGGTTAAGTTTCCCAAGTTTCATCTTTCATCTGCCTATTAAGTTGGCACATATTGGAAATGGGAATCTGGGAAAGTAGTTTTGTTTTCACACGCCAATCTGCTCTCCTTTGGGGTTTAGACACAATGACGGTGGGGGTGGAGAGGCAGAGAAATACCTGAGGCTGCTGTCTGCACAGGGGATGAGCCGTGGAGCATCATGACAAGAAAATACCCTTCCACTCACACAATGGGGCTGTATTACATCTATCATGCCCCAGCATGTCTGTCACCGACAATTGAATACAAAGCCATCGAGTCTTGTAAACTCTTTCTTATGCAAACCCCCTTCTTCAGTATATTCCAGTCTAGATACACAGAGCTGTTGCAAAATCCAAAAGCTAATCACAACTAACTTTTTTTAAAGAGGTTCACTAGAGTCTGGTTTATGTCAGAGGAAGGTGCTGTTAGTTGTTAATCTTTTATTGTAGCTTTTATTGTAGTTTTTAAAGATATGTATTTAACCAGAGATGTGACTTTGTAGGGATGAAAATATAACTTTCTCATCCCCCATGCTTCTGTAGTTCTGCAGTGCTGCATTTCAAGATGATCCGTGAAAGCATGCCTCTGTGCGATACTGTCTGTAGCCAAGCTTGTAATTTCTGCTCTAATCTCGTCCTTATCACTAATGGTTCCAAAAGCTCAATTGGGTTTATCTCCACTTGGCTGTGTTATCTTGCTTACATGGATATTGTAATCTGAATCCTATGGATAGGAGCTTCAATCAAGTCATCCAGCAGGAGGCTGCTACTTGCACTGTTCTTTCCGTCTTTGAATTACCTTCCATCTGAAATATTTTTGAAGCATGTTCGGATATAGCTGAGTGGTAAGGTCTTCCTTGTTCATTTTCTCACAACCTAAACAGCAAAGAAAGATATTCAACATGTTGTTAAGCCTGCTGTTTGAAGTATTTGTTTGACATTTTGGGAAATAAGATAATTAGCTTTTTTATTGCGGAATTAGATGAGAAAATTGATACCACTCTCATATCTTTACAGTGAGACTGGAAACAGAGGAATGTAGCTAGCCTTGCTCAGTCCAGTTGTAACAAAATTTGCTTACTAACATCTCAAAATTTTACTAATTAATTTAAAAGTTTAATGTGTAGTTTACAAAAGCTGAAGTGTATTAATGTCAATTTGCCGTTTACGAGTGGTTAAGTGCCAGACTATTTTTTGGCTGAGAGGAGTAACTTCCTGGAATCTCTGCTGGTTACCTGGAAACTACTTCCTGCCAAGAAAAAGTTAGGTACAGAACCCTTCATTAAAAAAATATATGTGTTTATTATGTTTAGGTGAATTTTGTTACCCTTGGACAAAGCCAGGCTAGCTAGTTTCCCTGTTTCTAGTCTTTAAACTAAGCTAAACAACTGTTGGCTGGAGCTTCATATTTACCATATAAACAGTTGTATCAGTCTTCTCCTCTAACTCTTCTCCCAAACTGTTGCCCTAGTCCTTTAAGTTTAGGTCGCATTTTTCACTAGTCTTCCCCTGGTGACTGCCAGAGACCAACCCAATGTGGTCAACATGTGTTTTTGTTAAGGTTTTTTACAAATAGCCTCTAATGCTTTCTGATTGTTTGTTAACACTTATGATGCAGAGATGTAAAAGACACAAAGCCTCCCTCTTTTAAACGAAGGTGTTGAGTAGACCAGACAATTTTCTTTCAAGTCACATATGACCTCATGTCTTCATGCTTTCCATGTCTTCAGCCTTGACTAAATGACAATGCTGCCTTGTCCAGTGGGTGCCCTCAGGAATGTTCCCTTTTGTCTTTCCATTTTGTTCCCTATGTGTCAATAATCAACCTTTCCATTCAGTAAGATGTTGTTCTCAGAGTTAGTTGGCCTAAAATACACACAATCAGCCCAACTCTTCCCTTTAAGACTTAATTCAGGCATGCTATTAAGAGAAAGTGTAGTGTGTTGTTGATAAAAAGTTTTGTATTCCCTCAAGGACTGTTCCCTGTTTGTTTAGAGGGTGGGACATTGTTTACATCTTGATACGGAATTGAGAAAAGATGGCGTCCTGCCTCTTTGTCAAGCCTGTGCCTCATTAATCTCAGATGTGGCTTCTCATTCTGAGAGGACCCTATGTAAAAATCCTCTCTCAGACATTTCTTCCGTGGCCCTTCTGGTTTTTCTTTTCACATGATTCTCTCAGATGAGGCCTTTTTGAAGTTTT